GCCCACGACGATAGTGAACTAGCGCACCTCACACAGCATGCATGAGGCGCCCAGTTCTTATCCTGGTCGCCGACTTTGCAACCAAAGTATAGTTCATACAGTTTTTTCACATGTGGTGTCAATCTTCGTCTGCATCTCTTTAAAGTCATTTCGCCACAAATGTAGCAAAAGTTGTCGGCTTGATTTTTACAAGTTCTAGGCATTTCTTGTTTCAATATACACTGTATTATATCTATATATTACTTGGCTAACTGTAGTTTATCTAAAATAAAACAGACTTACATTTAGTCTAATACAAGGTTAAACAAATGCAAATAGGTATATGATAAAAAAAATGCTAATAAATAAATCATAAACAACTGCTATTAAATATAATAAAAATCACATTGACAACTTTCATAGTGAAAATCGAAAATTTGAAAATGTGAATTTCCGTCAAAATTGGTGGGTCACACAACAAAACGGACATTATTTTCGTAATCTCCAAATCAAAATACATAAGGTAGTGTCAATGGCATTTCCGTTTTTTTTTCGTTGTTGTACAGTGTTACATTGATCTGTTTTGACTGATTAATGTATAATCGCACGTTCTAACATCCAGTGAAATATCTTCCCACTGTTTTTATGCTTTCTTTCTAACTCGAATTCTTCTATAATTTTCTTCGTTCTTCTTAAATTTTTTTTTGTTATTTTTAGCTGCCCCAAGAAAACCTAATGGTCTTGTCACAGAGCATCGCGAAAGTGCATTTAACTAGGAAGTTCACGCCTCTAACTGATGGAATTTTTGATAATAACATGGAAATTGAGCTAAGATCTAGACAATTTATTATCTGAAGTTTGTCAAAAAATCTAATTTTTCGTGCGACTTGTATCAGTTTAAGTCTATTAGGAGAGATTAAAGAGATTGGCGCATTTAATTTAGTAGTCTTTTAGAATTTACTATAAAATTAAGTTCATGACAAAATCTGCAAGGCTGATTTTTTCCAAAGGCTTTCACTAATAATTCGCTGATAATTTAGAAGAATTGCTGCGATAAAATTTAGAAGAATTGCTGCGATAAAATTTAGATGAATTGCTGCGATAAAATTCAATTTGATGCAGCTTAGACTTTAATAAAGAATTTTTATAAACAAAATAATCAAAAGTTTTAGGAACAACATGTATCTGAAAATTTAAAACTTCAATAGGATCACTTTTATTCTATTGCAAAATTTTAAAGATGAAAATAATCTAAAATTCTATTTCAAAAAAAAACAGGTTTAGAAATGACCTTTTATATTTTAAATATAAGTTATGTGTTTCAGGTAACATCTATTCACACACACGAATAGTAAATTATAAGAAATTAATTCTGAAGCGTATTTTTTTGTAAAATCGTCCATTTCTTTAGGAACTTTAAAGAAAGCAACTCTAGTATATCTTCTTGAGGCAGAACATCCATAAATTGAACAGTTTTCACACAGTGCATTTGCAACATATTTTGAGTTCTTTCAAGAAAAATAGTTAGTTTATTAGATAAACAACAGGATTTTTAAAATCTCTAACCCTGCACAAGTTTTGTAAAACTTGTGCAGGGTTGGAAATCTGGAGATAACAAAAATAATAAGTTAAAACAATCGGTCATTGTTTGCTTCCATCTATCTCTTATGACTATGATACTACCAAGATGTTCATATTTAGTAAAATTTACAAAAAAAATATTGTTCAGTAAAATTTACATTTTTATATAGTTAAACAATATGCTTTTTTTAGAAAGTATTTTTAAATTTTTGTATTTTGTATTACATGGTCATATCTTGTGAACTAACCCAACTTGCGTGCATACATTGCAATAACGTTATTAACGTTATTAAACGTGTCTTGTTTTTGCCTTTTTTTTTAGTTTTGAGTTAAAATTTTTATTTGAGGTGCATGATTATTCAAAAACAGCAATTATAAAATTTTGGGTCAAACATTGTTTAGGGGTAACACAGTTACCAAGTTTGGGTAAATTGTAGTTTTCGTGCCAATTTTCCAACAATTTAAAAGATTTCTCTGTCAGTTTTTTTAAAACTCATTGGAGAGCTCTTAATAGGGGAGACCGGGGCAAGATGAAGAGCGGGACAAGATAAAGAATTCTTAAATTTTCAGTTTTTTACTAGCATTAATTGGTTACAACTGACTCTCCTATAGACTGTTCGTTAAAAAAAGTATAGAAACGCTGAAATTGCCATTTTTGTATTAGCTGTGAAGCTTTGATTGTTTACCACTTGTTAACGCCTCTTTTCTTATCATGACACAAAAATTTTTTTTGTTTATATGTAAAGTGTGAGTCCTGAAATTTTTCTCACTAGAATACTAATTTTTATTTCAAAAATACTAATTTTTATTTCGCATCCGTTCGAAAAGGATAAAAAAATGGCAGAAGAAGATTGGCTGGCTAATTTTATACAGAAGCATAAATTTAATGTACGCAAACCAGAAACAACATCGATTGCCGGAGAAATTGGTTTCAATAACCCAAGTTTAATAACACAAATAGATAAGTTTTTCAACATTTTACGGGAACAACGGGAAAAATATAAATTCCCTGCTTTTTCAATCTTCAATGCAGATGAGTCAAGTCTGTCTACTGTGCCTAATAGCTACCCATGGTTCTCAATCAAGGCCGGCGGGATAGGGGGTTGTGACACCCCCCTCCTCATCAATGATTTTTAGTCGGCAAATTTGACCCTTTTTGACTAGTTAGTCGGCAAATGTAGACCCTGTCAATAAATTAGTCGGTAAATTTAGACAGTCAGTCGGCAAATGTCGTCATAGCAGTCAGCAAATGTCGTCATTGCAGTCGGCAAATTTTAAAAAACGGGGACCTTTTTTTTCTGGCAAAAGTTGTAATAGCACCACCCCCCCCCCCCCCCACGTGACAAAAGAAAAAAGGGAGTAAACAAACCCAAGCTAAGTTCCTGTAGGTCTGAGCCTATAAAATTCAGGACAAACATTCTAGTTGCATCAACATCAAAGGATGATGTTATAAGATGTCCTGCATGTGAAGAGGAATATTGGGACCCCCCAATAGAATAATGGTTTCAGTGCTGTAAATGCCAATAGTGGTGGCATGTGGAATGTTCCAAATATGAAAACGGTATTTTTATTTGTGACTATTGTTAGCGTTACAATTAAACAATTCAACGTTACGTAACATTGCATTACGCTTAGTTTGATAGTTTGTAAGATGTAAAAACACAGTTATTATTTGTTAAACGATTTAACATTTTCAAAAGATAAAAAATATTTAACTATTTTCTGTGTTTTCTTGCCCCAGTACTGAACAACATGACAATTTGTATAGGTTGTGAAAAAATTAAAAAATTTTTTTTTTTTTTTTATTTGAATAAGTAAATAGTAACATATTTAATATTACAAAGGACTACTCTAACACGTTTATGTAAAATTAATTTTTTAATCCTTGAAAATAAATTATTCAGCGATAAAAATTGTTATATTGCGTATTGCAGTTGCTTTAGATGTTTGACTTTGTTTTTGAAATCAGTTTGAATCCTTGTTCAGCGCAGTCATTAATTACTTCTCAAAACTCGACTACTTTCTAATTTTGAATTTAAAACATTTTATTAATGATATTCGAGATTATTAAGATAAAAAAGATAGAGAGTTGGGTAAAAATTAATTAAATTAATTAATTCGATAATCATCAATTTTGTAAATGAAATGATATTTTTTATGACAATAAACACAATTTTTTGTAAGTAAACGCAAAGATGTTGTATTATCTTTAAAAGGCAGACAAAAAATAAAAAAAGAAGAAATGTAGTACTCAAATAGACACACACATATATAAAAGATATAAATATATAATATTGACACTTGCTTTTCCTGATTTACACATAAGAACTCAAGAAAATTAATATGAGAATAGGTTTTTAAAAATTACCAAAAAAATGATTTAGAAAAAATGATTTGAAATTAAAATGAACTGCAAAATTTTACAAAATTTTACAAAAAAAGACAAAAAATAAGTTGTAATAATTCAATGATATACAATACAAAAATTTTAAATTAAAAAATATCAAGGATCAACCTAATATATTTTAGAAAAAAAAAAGCAAAAAAAAAAAAAAGCAACAAAAAAAAAAAGCAAAAAAAGCTTCACAAACGAAAAACTTTACTACCCAGCAAACACATTTGTACTGGATTTGCAGGTGATATATATATATATATATATATATATATATATATATATATATATATATATATATATATATATATATATAAAATATATATATATATATATATAATATATATATATATATAATATATATATATATATATATATATATATATATATATATATATATATATATATATATATATATATATATATATATATAAAGAGAGAGAGAGAGAGAGAGACATTTTGAGTGGTTCATTGGAGTTTTGCTCATCGGTGGGCTGTTGTGTGACGTCAGCTATAAATGGCTAGCCGAAAAGTTTCCAACATGTAATAAAGTGGCTAGCCATCGGGTAGCAACTTTTGGCGGCTTCCACTAATGGTCTACTAAGTAACCGATGATGTAAGTAAGAGATGAATCTACAGTTGACTTCTCAAAACCCCTAAATAGATCCACTGTAATTCCACCATAGAGTATTTGCTGGGTATATAAACCTATTTAAGGCTTAAAACTTAAAACTCTGAAAAACTCTTTTTTAATATCCTATTAATGCAACATAACTTTATACACCGGCCGTGTATATTAAGTAGATTACGTAATCTACCTAAACACACGATCGGTGTATAAAGTATTATTGCATAAAAATTAAATACAATTGATTAAGCTTTATTTTTATTACTTAATATAGTTGATAACACTTTGTTCGTTGCGCGCAGTTTTTTAGTAAGAAATAAGTTATAAAGAAAAAAATCGTTCTATAAAATCTAAAAATTTTTCACATTAAATATAAATTTTATTTGTTTTGATCTTTCTAAATATATATCAATAAAAATATTTATAAAAATTTAAATGAATAAAAAGACTAATGAGAAATTGGCTGATTAAAAGCCGATTTGCTTTTTATGAGTGATGTAAGCTTCTAATCGAATCTCAGCATACTCCTAAAAAAAATAAAAAACATCATTAATTTCATTAGTTGCATCTCAATGCAACTAAGGCCTGGTTTTACGTTTTTCCAAACAAAAATATAATTTTCAATTACAATGTAAATTATATGTAAGTTTTTTCATCAAAAAGTATGACATATTTGGTATGCATGGAAAGATTATTTTAACCACTTTTATAATCTGGTAAAAGTAATGCGACTATAATAAATCATCAAGCGTAGTTTTATTTAGAAAAGATACAACTTTTAACATAAAAGATCTTGGGGATTGGCTATATATAAATCTATGAACTTGATTTTTTTCATAAAAGCACGTATTGGTGTTTGTTTTCAATGAATGTAACTTGACATTTCTAATCAGAAATTATTTGGGAAAATTATCAATGAAAAACCATTTTTTTATGAAAATTGAAGTTACTATTTTCCATACCACACCTAAATGAGTATGTTAAACAATAATGGCACGTTAAATTTAGATAACATATGGTAGTGTTAATTTTTATACCAAAGTCGTTTTTGCATAAATAATCATAACTTTTAGCCCCATTTAAAAAACTGTTTTCGGTATTTAGTATCATTTTTTGAAATACTTGGGACTTATTCGGCCATCTTGAAATAACAAATTATTACATTCAGAATGCGTAAACAATTAAAAAACAGAGACGGAAAATTTTATAAATAATTTACATTCAATTCGAATTCTTTGTTTGCATAAATTAAATACCAACAAATAAAAAGTTTTTCGGTTTGCCACTAACAACCAATCGGATTTGTTTTAAATTATCAGGGTTTTACGAGTTTGTTTGTTCTATGCCTTAGTTGCATTTAGATGTGTGTGTATACACACACACACACACTCACACACACACACACACACACACACACACACATACACACAGACAGACAGACACACAGACAGACAGACACACACACATTAGACCGGGGTGAAAAAATAAATTTTAAAGTTATGGAAAACAGGTTTTTGGTGGAACTGAATATGGCAAACAAGCCTGGAAAAAAAAAGTAAATGCGTCAAGCTTAAATACCCCCAATCAGATTAAAACTCAATATAATTTGGAGATGTGGGCAAAAACTTTAAAGTTTTTTTTCTTCCTTGGTACCAATCATCGCTTTATTTTGAAAAACAGCCTATTTGACTTAAGAATAAACATATATTTATTTGGAATTTACTCCATGTCTGGAATTTAGCAATTTCATATGCTGCACACATCCCTGTTTAATCCGTAGTGAAGTTTGATGAACTGAGTTATTAACTTGAGTTTTTTTTGTTTAATTGTGAATACAAAATGTCTGCAAACTCGATTAGAGAGATTTAACAAAATACTGTGATTTGAAGGTCCAGGTTTCATTCTGGCAAGATCTTCGGTTCGGTTATATTTCCTACTCAAATGGCAAGATTAGTGTTGTATAAATACTGCTGATTTTTATCAAGATGGAGAAATACTTTTTTTAATATAGGTTATCCATTTCTGTAATGTAATAGGTTAAAAACATACAACAGTCAACTTTATTCTTTATGGCTTTACCAATTTTTTACTAATTGGTCCCTGACAAACTTCTGCCGGATATTGGACCGTCAAGCTGTTTAAAAATGTGCCTTAATCCATCAAGTAAATATTAACTTTGTGTGCAGAAGATGAATTAACAATTATGGCAGATCTATTAATGCTTTCTCCAAGTTCTGTATTACTCCTTCTTTAGAACCTGTACTTACAACGATGTTATCATAATTAATACTAGTATATTAACAATATGCAATCAGCGATGTGATTGATTTTATCAGATTTAATATAAGTATTTATTTGCAGATCCATCGGGATTCTATTCTTTATCTCTATAAATCTCAAATCCGTCCTTATAAAGAATACTGTTACCATATCTGGGGCGGATCTTCTTTCTCTTTTAGACAAGGTGCAGAAATGCATTGTAGACATAGTTGGACCTGCTCTTGCAGCCAACCTCCAACTATTATCACATTGTTGTAATGTTGCTTCTCGTTCTCATTTCTATAAATACTTTAATGAGCACTGCTCTAAAAAGTTATCGTCTCTTGTGTCATCTACTTAAATTCATTCTCGTGTTATTCGTCATTCAATTAAGTCTTATCTTTTTACTGTGACTGTTCCTAAGTGCTCCAAAAATTCTTATTCATCTAGTTCCATCATCTTGCTTTCCTGATTCATATAATTTGCTCTATAAACTTCTTTTCTTTTCCAGTAACTTCCAACTCTAATAGTGGTTGCTTCCAGCCTTGTTAGAAGCTAAGATATTGAAATGATATCTTAGAAAGAGTTGCTTCTCGAGATATGTATCTATTTGTTAAATATTTTTTTGATAAATAATGGTTTTCATTTAATATCAGCAGAAGAATGTGGTTATGAATGTACAATTAACATGCAGAAGTATTAATTAACATGCAAAAGATGACTTTGATAAACCTTGTGAGGTGAATAAAATCTCATGCACTAAAAAGTTGAGTGGTCATGCAGTTCAAAACTGGGTATTTTTGCATTTGTTTCCCTTTTTAATAGGAAAATACAATAAAGATTTAAAGACCCTGTGACCCAATAATTCAATCATACAATAATTCAATCATACAATGATTCAAGCATACAATGATTCAAGCATACAATAATTCAAGCATACAATGATTCAAGCATAAAATGATTCAAGCATACAATGATTCAAGCATACAATGATTCAAGCATATAATAATTCAATCATACAATGATTCAAGCATACAATGATTCAAGCATACAATGATTCAAGCATACAATGATTCAAGCATACAATGATTCAAGCATACAATGATTCAAGCATACAATGATTCAAGCATACAATGATTCAAGCATACAATGATTCAAGCATATAATGATTCAAGCATACAATGATTCAAGCATACAATGATTCAAGCATACAATGATTCAAGCATACAATAATTCAAGCATACAATGATTCAAGCATACAATGATTCAAGCATACAATGATTCAAGCATACAATAATTTAAGCATACATAATTCAAGCATACAATGATTCAAGCATACAATGATTCAAGCATACAATGATTCAAGCATACAATAATTCAAGCATACAATGATTCAAGCATACAATGATTCAAGCATACAATAATTCAAGCATACAATAATTCAAGCATACAATAATTCAAGCATACAATGATTCAAGCATACAATAATTCAAGCATACAATGATTTAAGCATACAATGATTCAAGCATACAATGATTCAAGCATACAATAATTCAAGCAAACCAAAAATAGTACAATAATTCAAGCATACCAAAAATTTATGTGTTTAATTCATTTTCATTCAATAATACAAATTTTAGTTCGGCAATAACAACAAATTTAATTCTGCAATGAGGCAATACAAACTGCATGAGGAAAACTGCCAGATACATTTTCCACCCATATTGTCTATCAAGGCACCTATTACAAAAATATTTATTCTTGATTTTTGACTTTACAAAAGATTATGACCTTCCTATTTTTGGATATGACATGGACCTTGAACCCAGCTATGTTAAGTCTAAAGTCAATTACTTTTCTTTAGCATATTCACAATTGTTTTACAATTAATAAAGTAAATTATAGTATTTAAGTAAATTATTGTATTATATCTTTATTTACATAACTAAGTTTATTACCTTAAGATCAAATCACATACAGGCCTGCCAAGAGCTGTCACGCGGCCTGGAACAGCAATCCTGATTGGTGCCCTTATTTATCAAATTTTCCCTATATTATATATGAAGGACCTTTTTTTTTTTTAGGTACCTTTATTTTATTTGGCACCACTTGAATATCTGCTGCCCGAGACAAACTGTCCCAGTGGTCCCCTCTCTCGGCAGCCCTGATCACATAATAGAATAAACACAGATGATGAACTCTGTTAACAATTTCAAGTTTTGTAGATCTTTGTTTTCTAAACCATGCTCTATGCACCAGATTTGAAGTAGTCTATTTGCAAGATTTAACCATCTTGAATGAATTTGTCGACCAATTTGAATCTCCTTTAAGTCATCAGGAAAAACACTTGATGCTATTACATTATATATTCTGTATAAATACTTCTGATCTGTAGACAGTGAATCTACAACTTCTTTCTCAAAATTAATTAGGTCTACAACAAAATCAAGCTGAGGGATGTATGTCAAAAAAGGAAGATTTGTTGCTATGTTTAAGTTTTCCGATGTTTCCTGAGATCTAATTTCAGATAAAGTTTTTCCATCTAAAGCTAACAATAAATTAACAAACTAAGTGACAATTCGTTGGTATTTTTTTAATAACTTTTTCTCTAAAAATTGAATAACTCCACCCTTCCAACCTATAATAATTTTGTATTTGCAGTAAAAAAAAAGAAGTACATAAAATTTTAAACTACCATTTAAAGAAATAAATATAAAACCCGTGTTAAAGTTGGTTGAATCTCCTCCAAATGCATTTATCCAACCATATAGTTGTTCAGCAATATATTCAGCAGGTGTTTGAGCTTCTTTCTCCTCTGAATCATTTACAAAGTGGAATAAATATTTTCCACCAAGTTCAAAACAAACACTATAATGATCTTCTTTGATCTTCCTAGGGTAAGATTTACTATCATTGCCATATACAACTGTTTTTGGAAGGTCTTTTCTACCATCGAACATTATACATTGTATGTCCTCTTTCTTTACTTCATTGTTATGTCTCTCTTTACAGACCTTCATTGTTCTTTGCTTTGATCTCTCAATTTTTTTGTGATCTAGAGCTAGATGTTTATCAAGTATACGATCTTTCAAAAAACCTGCATCTTTGGCTGCTTTTAATGTTGCAGTACCTGTTGATGCAGTTGCTCTATTACTTATCGTAATGCCAACAAAGCGATATGATTTACATTTAAGGTATTTAGCTGATAAACATTTTTATTTCTGGTAAATAAACATTGTCATTATAGTCATTCTCAGCATTGTCTGACTCCACATCATTTTGAGATAATACATCAGAATACTGTACAGTCTCGATTCTAACTCTCTTTAACTTTTTCTGCTTTCTTTGATGATATTTTTTTGTCTGGACACTTCTTTTCTATCAACTGAACCTATTTGCATTTCACTTTTAGAACCAACTTTATCCCTCAGACTGAGGCTCAGTGACTTTAAAAATTTAAGTTCAATAATAGGAATTTTATTTTCCTGGGAACATTTGCAAACAATATGAAAAACTTGGTTGCCTCCATAACAATAGGATTCTTTGCATGATTTTATTTAATATCACATTTACACTTGGCTATGTCAAACAGTTTATCTAAGATTAATTTATGATCAGAAAGTTGCTTAGATGTTCCCACTACCTAACGCCAGATTAAATGCTTTTTTCCAGTAATAAATGATTCTTCCTTTTCCTCTTTTATCAGAGATAATGGGTATAAGGGAGATAATGGGTATAAGTGAGTTAGCTTTTTGCCATAAATATTTTACTGAGGTCCATAATTTTTCAGAAGTTAGCTTTAAATTTTGGTTATTTTCTTCAAAATTATCAATTAAAGTTATAAAAAAAACAAAAACTGATATTTATGGTTGCTTGAACCGAGAACCAGTTTTCAATTTTTTAAACAGCCCCGAAGAATTAGATTATTATTTGCAACAATGTGAAATAAATGAAAATATGTTATTAAGTTGTTGATAAAATTTCCTAATTTATTTACAGTAAATTAAACTCTTTTTATTTAGAAATATTATAACTTATTAGCTGCTTTATATCCTACATTATAACTATAACCTACATAATGGTGCATTTCATTTTTATATATAAAAATGAAATGTAATATTCATGAATGAAATGCATTTAATAAGTTTTTTGCAGAAGTTTATTTTTTTTAGTTTTAATATATGTATGTATTTAAATTATTTTTTTATATTTAGGTCAATGGTTTGTTGTTCACTTTGATGTTCTGATGGGTGGAATGAATGAATGAAATAAATGAATGGTAAACTTTTGATTAAAGCGTTAAATGATCAAAAATTTTTTTTTGCATAGTTAGGGAATAACTAAGCTTAGAGTAAAAAAGGTGATGAAAGATTTAGATGAAGCCAAACATGAAACTTTGCCAGATTTACCTGTAGCTCACAGTTATATAATGGCATTGATTAGTTTATTTAATGAAAAACTTAAAGCGCTCTTTGTGGATGTAAGTTTTAAAATATCTACTTATTTAATACATATTTTCAAACAATTTATTATTAAATTTACCTTATTTTATAAAAACTTTCAAAGAAGTAACTTCAAAATATTTGATTTTATGAACTCCATATCTATGTTTATGGTATGTTGAATAACAAATTATAATAAACTATTAGTTTTTTTATAATAACAAAAAACTTTTGAACTATAATACTTTTTTTAATAATTACTCAAGTGGATTTTTGACTCAACTTGCTTTCTTTTTTTAGGAAATTCACTATTTACAGCGAACCAATTTATGATGGTAATCAATTGCATTATTATTGTTGATGGAATGATGATGGAATGATTGATGGAATTTTATCAAGTCATTATGTAGTTAGTTTTCGTATTTTTAATCTACCAAATCCAAAAGAAGCATCATCTGTATTAGAAATTTGTCAACGGTATATTCTGTTTATATTATGTTATATTAAATTTATTTAATTTTTTTATGGTAGTATATTGTATTTGATTTTAAATTATTAATTGTTTTTATTGATGAGAAAGTTTTTAAACGCTGATTGCTTATGCATATATTATTGAACATTCTAGTGTATTTTTCAACATAAATCCTGAAAAAGGAATCAAATCGAGGCTGCAGAAATTTGTGAAATTTAATATTGTCTGAATTTACCTTGTTCTTAAACTCTGTAATATAACTTTGAAAAAACAATTGTGCTTAATATGTTGTTAATATTTGTTTGTCAATTTTCAAAAGTTCTTAAACTATATATTTTGTTTCATTTTTTGATTTATTACATTATTAAACTAATTCTGGCTGTTGAAAAACATTAGATAACCAAAAAGAATTTACTTACCAGATAACCAAAACAAATTTTTGATAACCGTGCTTGTATAACTGACCATAGTAACCAAAAAAAATGAGAAGCAAGCGCAAACCTAAAGAAAATATTTGTTGATAAAAAATATTCAGCTGTATTTATGAAATTGTTATATGTACCTAAACAATAAAAATTGTATTGGTATTGAGGCAATGTAAAGTGTGACAGACTAACATGTTAGCATTTGACAGACTAACATTTTAACATTTGACAGACTAACATGTTAACAATTAGCAATTTCTTTGATTGTTTAATCATTAGGAAAATAGTATTCAGCTTGTTTATTCAAAGTTGAATATTATTTTAATTGTTTTTGTTAAATTGAAGTAGCTTAACACTCTGGGTCAACTTTTTAATCATATATAACATTGAAGACTCTTTCTACAATATATATATATATATATATATATACAATATATACAATATATATATATATATGAAAATAGAGTTTGTAAGATATGTCTTTGATTAAATACTTCCATCTTGATTTAAAAGATTTGCTCAAATAGCAAAAAATGAATGCTCAATTAAGTACTGCTATTAAATAATAATATAAGAGATTTTCACTAATAATAGGAAATACCATAACAATCAGTAAAATGTAAACAACAAACTGATAAAACTGTGGAAAAAAACAAAATCAAAGCGCAGGAGCTAATGCTATAAAGATAAAGTAAAACACTGAGTTTTTTGCATTTAAAGAGAAAAAATAATGCATTGCTATAAACATACACACACAAAAATCAGTTAATGAGATAAAAACTTCAATCCTATAAACTAACAAGGTAACCTTTACAAATTTAAAAAAATATGAGAAAATGTTGGGGAAAATAGTTAAGCATAGCTGATAAAATTGCTGTAATAGACCTTTTTTTTCCTAAATAACACTTTATGAAGATTTATTGCAGTTTATAACATAATAAAATAAACAGTAATTATTTGTTAAATGTTAAAAAGTCAACAATGTTAATTGGTTTATAGGTTTTTTAAAAATAAATATAAAAAAATATGTTTGCTTTTAAGGTGAAAAACATTATTCTGTTCAAAAAGATAAAAAACAAACAAACAAAAAAAAACAGTATAACAAAACATAGCTTAGGAAAATTAAAAAAATATTTAGACTGAAAGTGTAAAAATACTGAAAATGCAGAAGTTTAAACAGATGTTGTTTAAACAAGCTGTAAACAGAGGGCCTAGAAACAGAAATGAACACATTGTCTATTTAGAAAAATTATTGTGAAAAGCAATTTTCTGGTTAATCTTGTTTAAAATTGCAATACAAAAATTATAATAGATATAATAAACCTTGACAAGTCTTCAAATTACTTTGAACATAATCCTTCTAAAGAAAACAATTAAAAATGTCTACTTCATCAAGTGATCCATTAAACACAAAGAATATCTAAGAAAAAACTTTTATTAAGCAAAAAACAATTGAAGCTTTTCAAATGCAAACTAGCCATATTTGCATCAATATCATCATAAATAATATTTTATATCAACAAACAAATATCCAAAAAGCAACAATTGTTAATTGAGTTTCATTCTCTTTTCCTCCATAGGAATGCTCTCTGCAACCTAGCAACGCCTTTTATTTTCTTATCACTTTTCCTTTTTAAAGTATTTGCTTTGCTGACCAATTATGTACTTTTTTTTTTAAACTTGTTTCACATTCAAGAAAAACTCTTTTTCTAGCATCAATTAAGATTTTGTAAGGAGACCCATTTGAGCTTCTAGTTCTTCAATTTCAGACAAAATAATGGCTTTTTGACCTAGCATTGCAGGTTTTTTATTCTTTGACTTCTCTTCCTCAAGCATGAGTTGGTATTTTTGATGTGCAGATTTAAAGGCAGCTTTCATTTCTGATGTAACCTGGAGAGTGTGCGAATTGAGGTTGCTGGTAAGCATGAAATCACATATAAGGCGTTGCCCAACAATACCATCTATTGATATATTGTCAGTAACAACATCCTGATTGTCACTTAACCCCTGTTCAACTGATGCCTGTCCATGACTCAGAGTCAGAACCAACTTAATAAGAGATGTCAATGTCTTTGAAGTAAAAATCATTGAATAACTCTTTTGATCATAGCTAATGAAATAATAGTAAATAATAAATCTAATTTATTGCAAATTCTGATGACTTTGAGAACTGGTTGATTACTATGTCCCAATAAGAAACAGTTAAAATTTCAAATAGGATAAAATGATTTTATTTGACTCCAATTTTTAGGTGAGTATTGAGAAAATCTCAATAGTTTCAGATTTAATGAACATCCTAAAAATACTCTTATTATATTATTATCTTATTAATACTATTATTATTATCTCTATAATTGGCATTATTATTTTTATTATTGTTACTGTTGTAAATTAATACTGCTATTATTATAATTAACCAACTGCACAAGATCACCATTAATGTGAGGTAATATTAGAATATCTGATAGAGCTTCAGAAACGATTCAAATATGTTCGGAAGCTAAAGAAATTGAATCTTACAAAGTAAAGTTCCTTTTTAACAGCATTTACAACAAACTTATATGATTCGCCAGATGGCAGTTCACTTTTAGACAGAGCCTCCAAATAAATTACTATTTTTATAATAGAAGGTCAAATACTAATTAATCTTTCTGCTACCTTTTTGTCTTTAACATATCTGGTTGCCAAAAATGAAAGCAGAACACAGAACTTTTAGTGATACTGATAAAGTCACTTCTTCCGGCAGGAGAGTCATAAAATAAAATAAAGCAGCTTTTGAATTTCTTAATCAGTTGATTTTACTCTTGTTTTAAAAAATCGTGAGTAATGTGTAGAGAACAGCAACCTATGTCAATAAATTTAGATAAATTGCGTTCATTGCGTTTGCTTTGAATGTCTCTGTGAAATTTTAAGTTGACACTGGATCCATTCATAGAGAACTGAATAACCTTGCTGATTAAGATCACTCATCTTTTCATTAAAAGGATTCAGCTAATCAAAACTCATACTATGCCCCATAAATAAGGAATCCCAATACCTCACTTAAACTTGCATTTTTTTTTTTTATTCCAATATCAGATGAGTAAATTTCATTTGACAAGTTTGAGTTTTCTTGTTGAGGGATTCATCGAAGAACACAACATGCCAAGGAAACAGGCTCAGTCATTTAAGTAAAGCTTTGAAATGAGGCCCAAGACCATGAGTGATGCAATATCCAACTTTATTTGGTCCTATTTGAAAAGATTTAGCAATCTCACTGTCAGGAAACATAGCCTGGAACAAATTAGTTGCATCTTTATTTGAATTGTTAGAAATTTTAATTAAGCAACAATGCAATGCCCAAATAATTTCAGCACAGATTTTATTAAAACTTGATACAATGAGTTTTAAAGATTGTGGTTTCATAATGTGTCCTTTTGAGAAATCAGTTATCTTTAAATTAGACTATTCCACTGAATTAGGTGAGTTATTAATTTTAGCAGCAGATGATTTAAAAAAACAGGAGGAATTGCTTGCAACTGAAATATGTTTTTTTAAAGTTTTTTTTATAGTATAATTTGCATTTAGCCTGGGCATTATCTTTCCCTTTCATTAGCCAAGAATCAAAATGAGGGAAACTGTCTTTGTTTAACCATGCTTCTTTAAAATAAGCCTTTTTTAATTATAGAATAAGTTTTAAACGATCTTAATTGATAATAAAAATAAATAAATAGTTTTTTTTATAAGTAAAAAAAAAACTATTTATTTATTTTGGGCTTATAATAATTTAAACTTTTTGTAATAATAAAATAACAGTATAATTTAAATAAAAAGTGTTTATTAAAAATGATTGTTAGTAATTAACAAAGTAATTTATTACTTGATTCAAAAGCACTTTTCATATTATAAACACATTAGAAAATAAGTTGTTTATTCCAAATGTAATTTAATTAAAAGGTAAAATGTTTTTAGAAGTTTTAGTTTCTTATGTTTACTTGTTTATTTTGTTCTCTTTCGTTAAGATTTCTTTTTTTTTTTTTTTTTTTAGTTTAGTTTGCTGTTATTTTCTTTTAAGTTTATTGCTTAGCTTTTCAGCGCATTTTTATAACTATTTTTAAAAAATTTAAAAGCCATGGTCAAATTGCGTGGTCATATAATGGCGTACGATCATACGCCTTTCTGTGAAACACTATAGAATACTTTTTTTATTTGTCAAAATAAATTAATGGGTAGTACCAACAAAAACATTATCGCCTATTTGTAAAACGAGTTCTCAATTAGAGTTCTCTGACTTTTCCCTGACTATCTGATTAAAAAAAAAAATTCCCTGACTTTTCCAGGTTTTCCATGACTTTAGCTAAAATTAACTAATTTTCCAGGTTTTCCAGGTACAGTACAAACCCTGTTTGTATTAGGGGTAGTCAAAAAAAGTAAATTTTCAAATCTAAAAAATCATACCCCTAGATTTGGGGTAAATATATAAAAAGAGCTCTCTAAAAGTTTGAGTGCTATTGGATTACCTCTCAAGCCTTTAATTCAAGAAAGAAAAAAAAAACCAAAAAGTGGTCATTTTCGAGCATCTTGAGGGAGGGACAATTTTTTTTTAATTTTATTTTTTACTGTATATATAGGCCTATGTTTTTGTTTTGAAATATATGACGATTTTATTACCACACAAAAATGTTTGTTGAAACTCATGAAAATTGATATTTGTCAAGATTTTCTGTTATCTATTGTTATATATTTATATTTTGGTGCAACTTTTGAAAATTTATCATTTTTAATTTTTATTTATGTACTCATCTAAGATTAGTACATATTAAAAATGAATAAAACACAACTTCAATAAAAAAAAGGAGCCTTTTATTATAAAAGAAGCAAAATAAGCTAATTCAGGTAATTTTTTTTAATACTGGAATCATTAATGTACGATCACAAAAATATTTAAGAATATCTAAATCTTTCTGTTTAGATGTACAGCTTTAAAAATCTTTCTGTTTAGATGTACAGCTTTAAAAATCTTTCTGTTTAGATGTACAGCTTTAAAAAGAATCGCATGTTCTTCAGCATTTAATATATAAACAACAATGTCGATCTGCATCAATATCAAATAATATTGTTTGTCTCCTTGAAAAAGATTTTTTAAGATGTTCAGAGTTTGAGCTTAAAATAAAAAAACTTTTTTGGGCTTGTAATTCTTAACTCAAAAACATGGTCAATAAGGATAAAATGATGAAAATGACTAAAAGACAGATTGAAGATTTTAAATTTCTGGAAGATCAATAAGGTGAGAGGAAGTTTGTTATTGCTTCAGAGGATATTGAGTATAGAAATAATATGTTCTATGCTTTTAATTAAATAATTTAACTCTGGTTACACCTCTGTTAACTTATTCTCTTTTCTGCTGATTCTAAAATTAAAACAACACTGTAAAGCAGGCAAAAGAAAGCATCAGGAAGAAAATTTGTTCACAGCCTAAGAACTTGAGAGATAATGTACCCAACAGTGAACTTATAGACACAATTCTACACAAGGATTCTTCAATTGAATCTGATTTCAATCCAGGTGATTGGTATAATATGGAAGTTTCTAAAAACTCAGATAAAGTAATTCCAAAAATTCTAAAAGGTATTTATGTCGATAATAATATATAAACAACAATGTCGACATGCACTAAAATCAGTGCAGTAATGTTTCGCTGTCACAGCCTGTGATATATCACTAATTATTTAACAGAAGGTAACAAATGCAATTTTATACCAATTAGGTGTTGATCATAAAGAAGTTAAATGTTTTCTAACGCATATAGAAAAATGAAAAAAGAAAATGAAAACATGTCAACTATTACAAAAGATAATGTTAAAGTAGCCAATGATGCACCTCCATATCCATGTATAATTTATTTTGATGGAAAGTCCTTGTTTGAGCTAAAAAAAAAGAAAATTAGAAAAGTGTGTTAGAATGACTATTTTAGTTAACATTTGTGGAGAGACTTACCTATTTGGAGAAGCGAGCTTTGCAAAATTAATTGTCATTCATTTATTCCCTACTACATATAAACAGAGATGTAGGTCTTGAGACTTAAGTCTTAATCTCGAAATGCTTTAAGACTCATTTTTAACTGTCTTGGTCTTGAAGCTGGGAGCTTGTTGTAACTATAGTTTATGGCTAATAAAATTACAAACGAAAACAACCTACATGTTTGTAATATGTGTGCTATTCTCAATTTACAATGTGATGGTCTTGCATCATTTTTTAATGGTACATTTTGTTTTTAACAATACAAGAAACCTGTTAGTTTCTGTTACTATTAAAGTTATTTATTGAAGACTGTGACAGACACTGCATAATTTGTAATAACATAACTATATATACATGTGTAATTACATTTTATTATAGAATAATGTCTATAATTGGAAAAATGATCCATCAGCTAAAGGCCTAATAGTATACATACATAATTGACCATGAAATAAACCAGTCATGGTCAAACATACATGTTTGATCATGATCATTTTTAAAAATGTTTTTTTGAAAACCTGGGGAGGCTACCCCTCATTTAGATAACACCACTCTTGTTTGTGTTAAATAATTTGTGAATTGGAATATTCATTTAATCTCTATACAATAACGATTTTTAGATTCATAATTATTTACAGCAGCAAAAAAAAAAAAATTGTAGTAACAATAAATAAAGGATTATTTTAACTATTTTAATTATATTTTTAGCTTCAAATAAAAATAAACCATCAAAACATTAAAAAACTTAAAAAGAAAACAAGCTAGAGAAAGTCGCTTGGTAGCTAGAGAAAGTCTCTTAGTAGATGGAAGTTTTAAAAAAGTTTTGGTATAAGAAAAAAAGAAATTCAAAAAAAAAAATACTAGATTTAATATTTTAGCTTTTAAAATTAAACATTGCTCTAAGACATCAAATTAAGTTCAATAGAAAAAATACTATGCAACTGTTAAGCTAGCACATTTAAACCAGAATTATTTTAATAATACAGAAATGGCAATTTAAAAAAAAATTAAAAAATTAAAAATTAATTTGAAGTAAGATTGTGTTTGAAAATTAAAGAACAATTTTTTATATTTTTAGTTTTAGGAGGGAATTCTTGAGCATTAAAAAAGTTAAATGAAAATATTTTTTTTGTTAAATTTCAAAAAATATTATTCTTTAAAATTTAACTATATTTAAGTTTTTACTTTCTTAAAAAATTTAACATTAGATTCATAACTCTTTCCATTTAACTTTTTTTTTAATTAAAATAAAATTAAATAAAATTAAATAAAAAGTTAATTTAAAAAATAAGTTGTTATTGTTATTTTTTATCACTGTTGGCTGAAGATCACAACAGTTAGGATTAACTTTTTTTTTTTAATAGATATAACTTTACATCATGAACTTTAAAAACAATGCTGCTGCATAATGAATAGGAACATGCAGTACAACTGTACCACAACCACATTAAATTAGTCTGCACAATTTAGTGGTAATTAGATCCACTTTCTTTTCCAACTACTTGTGTACCAACCTCTTCTTTTTATAATAATGCAAATAATGTTTCTAATAACTTTTAGGCATACCTATTTGATAAAACAAAATTAGCACCTTTAAAAACAATTATAAAAATTTCTACACATTTAACTGTGATTTTGATGGTCTAAAATTTTATGAAAATTTCTTGAGTTTAATAAAAACCTTTGTTTTTAAGTATAAACTAAATATAAAATTTACAAATTCAATCTTAATTCAAATATTTTAGACATAAATTCTTTATCTATGTTTAAAATACTTTGATAGACTCTTGAGAGGTTGGTTTTTAAAACATCATTTCATAAAAAAATCTTGAGACATTCAATGGCAAAGTTATCTTCATCCGAAAAACTTTAAAAATCTATGTTTTTATCTGAAAAAATCAAATTAATGTTTATTTTAATGTTTTTTGAATCAAAATATTAGAATGTAAATAAAAAGTGTAAATATGGCATAACAGAGAAAAAAAACAAACAAAAATCAATTAAGTTTTTTTCCTGAAAATATTGTTTATAGAATTTCGGTGCCAAATGATAACATTATTAGCAAAATAACTTGACATTTTACCCAAACGTTCCTCAAACTAGCCCCCAATAACCAAACTAGTTCCGAATAACTAAACATGATTATTAGCAGTTGTTCTTAGCTTTATTTGCAATTAAATTAACTTATAAAGAAATACTATTTTACATTGTTTTCATTATTCTAAATGTACTAGTTAGTAATAGGAAAAAAAAATATTATAATTAAAATATATTGATAAATATATTTTAATTGTAATTATTGCTAAAGAAATAAATGAAAAGAAAAAACATAAACCACAAAACATATCATTAAAAATTATGTATACTAAAATAAATAAAGCTGTATACTTATTTCCTTCATCCAACAAAGTTTCAACTGAACATGGAGTCAAGTCATACTTAAACTTTTGATGGTCGATTTTGTTTTCCGAAAAACTATTCAATATTTCATTGGTGGTTTTAATATATTGCTGAGCAAATAACTCCTAAAAAATAATCAGATCATTACAAATTGTAACTAAAAATTGCTATCTTTTATTTTAAAACTGCCTTAAGGTTGTTTGAGAATAAAAACTGCTTCTAAAAAGAATTTGAAGTTCTTTAAATTCTCCATTTCTTGTTTAAAAAAATTCCTTTTAAACATTTAAAAACTAAATCATTATTTTGTTCTACTCTGAAAACTATATTGAAGTTCTGCTCTATTCTGTAAACTTTATCATAAACCTGTCCTATTCTGTGAATTATATAATTATTTTATTATACAAAATTTTCAACTTCGGATAATTTTTTTATATTTATTTACTTACCAATGGAGCTAAGAATTTTTTTTAAAGTACTTTTCACACATAATGCAACTTTTTAATTTTATAGCACTATAAAAAAGTCGATTTAATTTTTTTGCAACCAGATGCCCTTTCTAGCATCAATCTGTTTTTTTGCAACCAGATGCCCTTTCTGGCAACAATCTGTTTTTTTGCAACCAGATGTCCTTTCTGGCATCAATCTGTTTTTTTGCAACCAGATGCCCTTTTTGGCATCAATCTGTTTTTTTGCAACCAGATGCCCTTTCTGGCATCAATCTGTTTTTTTGCAACCAGATTTATATCAGAGTTTTTCTTATTTTAGGTGCTTTCACCATCACTAAAGAGTTTTAATTACTCTAAGTAAGGATCAGCATAACATCATGACTACAACAATGTATCATGAATAGGATGATGTATACAAATTTAAATGCCATTTAAAACTTTGACTTCATCAAAGACAACATTGATATTCAAAACCCATTAAAAAAAAATGATATTAGTTATAAAAATTTATAACAAACACAACGAACAAACTTCATTTTAAGTGATTTCTTAATAGCTCAATTTTACTAGTTGCAGGTTTTTTCCTTTTATTGTGAAACAATATCCATTTGGAATCAACAATATTAAAATTTTCTGAGAATAGAGTAATTTCATAATTATTATATGTGGATAACTTGTCACATTATAAGAGCAAAGGGTGGAGGTAAGAAAAAAAAGATTAAATTTAAAATGCACAGAAACAAAGTTTCTTTGAAACCAAAGTTAAATGTTTTTAAAAACCCCTTTTTTTTAAAAAAAAAAACAACATAAAAACCTGTTGAGATCTGCTCGGATATGCATTATAAAAAACCTTAAAACCATTTTCATGATGACTTTTGTATTCATACATCCACTCACAAAAGTGATTACCAATGTCATATCCTCTAAAATTAAAAATTAAAAATTCTTGAACTCATAAAATGTCATTTTGCTTTCAACATTATTATATATAATATATGATTTTAATTATATATAATTCATTAATTCAATTTGATCACTTTGAAAATTTTTTTAACACAAAACAAATTTGATAAAAAAACTTTCAGCTCTATCAGTTGTTCTCTACCTTTTCTGTTTTGTTATTTTTTATTACCTGTTTTTATCTAACAAATACTCTAGATCCAAGATCTCATCCACCCCTTTTGAATATAAAAATATAAAACAAAAATACTGTTGATTTAAAATCTTGATTTTTTGTTTATTGCAATATTTCAAGAAATATTTATAAGATATATTTAGTTTTTTCATTAACCACACAATGATTAAATGAAATGGATTTAGCTTTATATGCAAAAAAAAACAAAGATGAACATCAACACAACACAGAGATGAACAACACAACAGAAAGATGAACAACAAAACAACACAAAGATGAAAATCAACACAACACAAATGAACATTAACACAACAAAAAGATGAACAACATAAAATAAAGATAAACAACACTAGTGTATATTATGTTTAAGAGTAACAGTTGTCAAATAATTTGCGATTTAGACTTATTTGAAAAAAAATCTCTAATAAAAATTAGTTATTAACTATAACTTGAAATGTAGCTGTCTCTTATAAATTATAACTTGAAATGTATGACTTCACCTACTATTCTGTACAGACACTAATAAAACCAGCATAAAATAACACACACTAATAAAACCAGCATAAAATAACACACACTAATAAAACCAGAATAAAATAACACATACTAAAAAAAACAGCATAAAACAACATTATTTGTACAATAGAGTGAATAACTATTTACAAGTTTAAAATTGAATAGTAAGTTCTGAGCTCAAATACAGAATAAAATCAAAGAGCAAAATAATACAAGATAAAAAAAAAAAAGATTTTAAATGATTTTTTAGCAACTTTTTCTCTTTTAAACCAGCAATAAAATAAAATTTAAACAGCAAGTACAAAACATAAGTATAACAAGAAATAAATTATATTTATATTATAATAAAATTACTTCTTTAAAAAAGTAGACTGCATATGCTCAAGAAAATATGCACAAAAGCAATCAAAAGCAATGTATACATTCTATTTTTACATACTATATAAAACATAATGTGTGTATTTTATGCTTTGCTTAATTTACACATAATCTATGTCAATTTTTATATATATATAAAAAAAAAAATCAACCTGTAGTTGAAACTGCTGTAATCATAGTCAACAATTTTGACATCTGTGTTGACATCTCCAGTATTGATGTATAAAATATTACCTGAAAAATAAACAATGAAACAAAATTTAGAATCAAGAAACATATTTGCAAATAGTTTCGAGTTGATTTAAAACTTCAATATGACAAACATTTTAAAACCTTCTTGTAAATCATTATGACTAAAGACAACTGGAGAGTTCAAGTCTGTAAGCATTTTCCTAAAAATATACAAGTCTGTAAGTATTTTCCTAAAATATACAGAAAAATTTAATGAAATATAAATAAATTATTAAAGTGGTTAATATTTACTAAGAGCAATTTAGTATATACTCATTAATGCTATGATATTTGACATGAGTATTCCACTTTAGGCTTTGGTATCATAACTATACTCTTCAATAATTTCCCTAATAATTCCCAACTTAACTTGTGGTTACTTAGCAACTCTTAAGTTAAGATTGTTTTGTTTCATTTGTAGACTTGTTGGATACACATTCTTAACTAACAATATATAGCTACAAAAATTAACTTTGTTTGAATAAATGTTAAATGTAAGTTTAACTGTAATAATAATAATAATAAAAAAAGATGCACAAGGATAAAAAGAAATTCAATGAAAAATTAAAGTTTATTAAAACATAGATGAGTATTTGAAATCCTGGAAATGTTTTTTTATGAAAATCCCGGAAAAATATTTTATTAAAAATTGATTGTATTAACTGAAAACAAAAACTTTTGTAAACTTTTAAAATGTAATTTAGATTATTTAACTTTTTATAAAAAGGAATTTCTAATATTCGAAAAAGTTAATTTGAATAAATTAAAAAGCAAAAAAGCAAAAAAAAAAAAAAAAAAAAAAAAAATTTGTTATGAAAATTGATCTCGTGAAAATTTTAACTATAGAAAACATATTTATTTAAATGCAAAAGTTGTCGTTTTTAAAATTTTATGTAAAAATTTATAATTTTTTTTTAAACAAATTTTTTTTACACAAAGGAGTTTTAAGTGAATTTCCGGAATTCCGGGAACTCCGGGAAAAAACTCATCTATGTTAAAAAGACTATTAAAAACAACAATAAACTGTTAAATTGTTACACTGATGTCAATTTGCAAGCACAACAACTAAATAAGCTCTAAATGCCAATTTATGATTGCCAATTATTTGGGTTGTCAATTTACATTGATAATTGTGAGAACTTATTTAGTTGTTAATATCAAAAATTATTTTATAACAGATTCAAAACTGCAACTTGTGGTAAAAACACCAGTTTTTTAATATGTTCTAACTAAAAAATAACAACAGCTTACCGTAGCCATTTATATTCAAGATGAACATTTATCTTTTTTTTCATTTTTTCAAATCTTTCCTGCTTTGTTTCTTCTTCAAATGTTATCTCTGAGCAAACTTCGATAAATCTTAAATAAAAATATGTCATTTTATATTTTATAAAGAATTTGGAAAACATTATTTAAGGACATTTACTGAGATTTACAAGGAACATTTAATAGAAATTATTAATGCTTTTAAGGGTAATTATTTATACATTTAATAGAAATTATTAATGCTTTTAAGGGTAATTATTTAACCTTATCCTAACCAAATCTTGTCTGCTTTTTTTCTTGTTCAAATGTTATCTCTGAGCATACTTCAATAAATCTTAAATAAAAATCTGTCATTTTATACTTTATTAGGCTATTTGAAAAACAATTTATCACGGATATTTAGTATGCTTTTCAATATGATAATTTTTAAGTTATTTATTGATACTTTCATCTATTTCTAAAATCAGTTCACATTTAGTTTATTCCACATTTAAAAGAACATAACCAAGTGCCTAGTCGAGAAAAAAGATCATAACCTAGTCTAATCTAGAAAAAAGAACATAACCAAGTCTAGTTTGGAAAAAAGAACATAACCTAAACTTAAATAACAAAATATAAATTTATTATGTTTTTAGAAAACATTTTTAATATATTGTTATCGTAAATTTGCTATCTACACAGTGGCCTTATTCAACAAAGTTTTGTTTCAAAGTTATAAAATTGAAAGGGATTGAACTATAAACAAAAATTAAAAAAAAAAAAAAAATCAATCTCCTCAATTATAGTGGGCCCTTAAGCCTTATGGAAGCAAATATTGCTAGGGTAGGTAAGGTGGCTGTGAGCAGTGAACTTAAGATTTGCAATCAAGAGGTTTAACATTTAAATCCAACTGAGGTCTCAAGAAGCATTATGCTTAGATGTGAGGTCTCAAGAAGCATTATGCTTAGCCTGTTTCTTTACACAGCTTGTTTATTAATGTTTGTGTTTTGGACTTAAAAAATTTTATTATCAACTCATATGCAATGGAAATTGTTATAGGTGCCTTGCTGTTGTATTTGATATTGACAATAAGTAATCATGGTAACGAGACATACAAATTTACATAAACATAAAAATTTTGTTTAAAAATATTAATTATATAAAAAAATTTATGATATTAATTTTTCATAACTAAACTAAAACATTTATATTATTAATAATAACAAGATTTTAACCACAAGTCAAGTAAACACTAAGAACAGCTGAGTTTTATGATATAATTAAGCAAATACCAGTTGAGATGTATATTATATGCTATTATTATTTAAAGATAATATTTTAAAATAACTTTCAACAATAAAAAAAAAATTACTTTTCCATATTTTCCCAGAGAAATGTTGGTTCTTTACTCAATGGTAAGTTTATAGAATGAAACTCAGCAAGCCTCTTAGCTATTAATGTTGAAATCATAGGATCAGCTAGCTCTGTTGTAAACAAGTCCCGAAACTGAATTTAAGAAAAATATATTTAATGTGTGTGTGTGTCTAAATATACATACATATATATACATACATATATATACATACATATATATATATATATATATATATATATATATATATATATATATATATATATATATATATATATATACATATATATATATATATATATATATATATATATATATATATATATATATATATATATATATATATATATATATATATATATATATATATATATATATATATATATATATAAATATATATATTTTCATATTGATATTCAAATTTATAATTTAAAAGTTAAAACAAAATATGGGTAGTAATCCACCAAAAATGATGCCAGAATTATAGTCAGAATTATTTTTGAATAAAATTAAATTATATTTCAACAATGATTGTGATTATCTATATTCAAGTTTCCCTAACTATAAACCAATGCATAAAAGAATTATTTCAAATTTTGTTTTTTCAATATAAAGTGGTAACATTTTTAATTTATGTAAATAATAAACATAAAGTTAAAATAGTTGAGTTTTACGTTTTCAGTCCTTAAAATAACTTTAAAATTCTTTAAAATTCACATTATGTGTATTTGCAGAATCAGAATTAGTATTACCCAACAAAACATTGAAATATAATGCTAATATACTAAAACAGTCCAAATAGCATTTCTTAAATTTCACTTTTATGAATTGATAAAATAAAAAACAACCAAATAAAAACATACTGGTATAAACTCTTCTATTCTTCCAGAGTTAAAGACACCAAAGGTTTTTGGACCTATTCCACGCTCAGAGAGCAAAGTAAAAATAACCCCCTCATAAAATCGTTGTTTCTGATCCACAATATCTCCATATATTCTCAGAAGAACTTTCCTTGGCTCATGTGGTTTAAAATGAACATCATCAACAACTTCGCACACATACAAATAATTTGTTAAACCACCACTAAATAATATTGTTTAATTATTAGATATTACTTTGTATGCTTTAATTTTTCAAAAAAACTGCAGAAAAATATTTACTTGAGAATATTGACAGTAAACTTTTCTGGTTTACACTTAGCCCAAGCTCCGGCAAGACATTTAGAGCAATATTTATATGCAATTGAAATAATATCAGCATCTTCACATTTAGTTAAACGGATTAAGTCGCCTGCTCTCTCCAAACTTTTATCTTCAACATCCCCTTTTAGTTCAGAAAGACTAACCACAGAAGAAGATCTTGAACGAGTCATCTTGTTATTAGCTTGTTATTAGCTATCTCAAAAGAAACAAATTTTTTTAAAAATAATCATAATTTTCTTTAAAAAAATTAGATTTTACAGTGCAAAAAATGACATTAAACTAAAAAATAAAAAAAGTGCATTTTTAAATGAATATTAAATAATTTTTTTTCTTTTTATATAACTTTGCTTCTTTTGAGATCTAACATGGTATACTTTTAAAGAACTTTTTTTTTGAAAATATTAGGGACTCGTAAAATGTTAAAGGGTATTGAGCAACTTCTGAATTATTTTTTCATAAACTAATTTTTGATATCCAGTATTATATTGAAGACAATTAGGAGGTACAAGTAAACATCTTCAAACAAACAGTTTTGATTAGCGCCCTAATATATATGTTTATAAATAATTATTTATGTGGTAACTACAAAATATAATTATAAAAATTTAAATGAATATATATATACAAACCAATCAACAAAAAAAATATAGTTAGAAACTGAAACTTAATTTTTTTAATTTTTTTCTTTATTGAAATAAAAAGAAATGTGTTCATGGTATAAGAAAAACTTATACCATGAACACTTTATTGACAAAATATGTTTACAAAATATATGAAATCTATAACTTAAATATATACAAGATAAAATCTATAAATATAATTTTTCGTTTTTTTAGTTCCAAAAGATTTTAACATCTTCACATGTTTAGAAATAGAATACCACAATGATTCTAGAATTAAGAGTCATGTTGAGCCCTAAACAAAATAATCAAAAAATATATTTTTAACTTTAAAAACAAAATCATGTTTAAATTTTTATTTATTTGTTATCTTTTTTTTTAAATTATTATTTAGTTTTGTATTAAATAATATTATTACACAAACACAGACAAACTAACTTTTAGACAAAAAAGATTATTTGATGATTATTAATAACTGTTATTAAATTTAAATTTAGTATAGGATGGAAAAAAGGTTCAAGTTTATGTATATTATATGATTGTATAAAAACAGATTAGCACAAAAATAACAGATTATTACAAAAATTAATAGAAGAAATTATCAGAATGAAAAAAAACTTTTAAGCAAAATGCGGCAAAAAAATAACAAACTAAAATATTTTTCACCTGAGTGGAATAAATATTTCATCTTCATGCATCTGCTGCTTTGAAACCTTTAAAAAAGATTTGTATTTTTTAACATTCTTTTTTTTAACTTTTTTAAATTAAAATTTGATGTTTTATAATTCTTTAATTTTAAATGTTAAACTTATAATATATATACATATACATATACATATACATACATACATATATATATATATATATATATATATATATATATATATATATATATATATATATATATATATATATATATATATATATATATATATATATATATATATATATATATATATATATATATATTTATATATATATATATATATATACATATATAAGAGAAAGATATATATATATATATATATATATATATATATATATATATATATATATATAAAAGAGAGAAAGAGACTTGCAGATTTAATAATTTAAATATTATTTTATTTAATTTAATATATATACACATACATAATATTAACACTATAATACTAATATAAATAATATTTTTTATATTTTTATTTTTTATGTATTTGTATGATCTATTACAACATAAATACAGGGGTGGGACCGCAAAATGTGAACATTTTTGTTTTATTATAACTATTTTCTCGTTAGATGTAGTTGTACTCTCTCACTCATCAGAAAGTGTCTAAAGAGTTGGTCTAAACGTTGTAAAATGATCTACGAGAATCAAGGAGGTCAAATTGAACATTTAAAATAGTTCATATTTAACAGAAAATTAATTATTACAATCAGAAAAGTGTTCACATTTTGCGGTCCCACCCCTGTACATCAATTAAAGTAGAGAAAATATCACAGTTAAATAAAGATTCATAGTTGAATAAGTTTAAAAACATGTCAATGTTAAAACATTAAATGTAACTTAAACCTATGTACCATATTTAAATTTTATATCTGTGTCACCGACAACTGCTAAATATACAACAATAAAACATAGAGCAAGCTCAAAGATTAGTGTACACTAAGCATTAATAAGAAATCATGGAAATAAATAAAAATATAATTGAACGAATTGAAACACATTTTTAAATTCATATTAAAGAGAATATTTTTTTTCCCAGCAGAACAATCAAATCTGAAAAAAAAATTATACTCACTAGTTCAAATTGTATATTTGTATTAGTATCCTGTCGGGAAAAAGTAGATAACTGCTTTTTTAACAAACTAACATGGTTTCTATGGGTAACAATATCCTTTTCAAGCATAACAATTTTTGAGCGCATTGATTGTTTATCTGCACGTAATTTTGAAATTTCAAAAAAATAGCTCTTCTGAATTGATAGAAGCATGCCTACAGTTTTCTGAAATAATGTAAAAACTAACTTTTAACAAAGACTTGATAAACGGATAAGGATATATTATGATAAAATTATTAAAAAATACAAAAAAAAATTATTTGTTAAATACCTGAACAATTTGAAGCTCAGGAGATTCATTTAAAACAGCAAATACTTCTGGTGGCAATAATGGCAGTGTTATTTCCATGTCATTAATATTGGGTATTTTTTGAAGAACATTAATATTGTTCTCATGAAACGTTGTCACAACATTCTGTAGATAAAAGACTAAATAATTGCGCTCCCTAATAAAAAAAAATGATTATGTTTAATCAACCAACAAGATGGCTCCTTCTCACACAGCTTATAGCATAGATAAAAGAAAAAAAAAAAAAAAAAAAAAACTAGATTTATTATCCTAGCCAGCTTGATCACTAGATGTGAATTCAATCAATTTACTTGGGCTCAGAAAGACAAAGAATTATTGAAGATCCAAATAAAATTCATTAATAGACTAAAGTAGATACCAGATTTAATTTTTCAGTTAAAAAAGTTCTGACTGAAATTTGCAACAATATTGTTAAATCATTGTACAAAAAAAATGTGTAGCCTAGTTGAAATGCGAGATATATTAAATAATATTTTAAATGTTTATTTTTGTTGCACTAATTTTGATATATTATATAATCGCAGTTTTTTTATTGACAATTTTTGTTTTTATGTATAATATTTTAATATAACTTATAAAAATATTATTATTATAACAACAACTTATTAATAATATATAACTTTATATATAATTTAATAATTTACTTTATAAAATGTTTATAGTAACTTAGTAGTAAGTCATCAACACAAGATTTATTTAGGAAAAATTTTTCTTGCTAATATATAAAGAACTCAACTCTTCATTAACTTTTGTTTTATGATATTTTAAAATACAAAAATGCATAATGTACAGTGGTCCAGAACCTTTGAGGCAAAAATCATATCTTTGTCATTTTTTAAGCAAACACTAGGAAATTTTTAGCATAAACACTTAGGATAGTAACACCATGCAACTCTACAAGAACAACACCAAGTACAAAAACATAACATAAAGCCCGTAGCATACCAATTATTTTTAAGCAAATTCTAAAATAAAACACCAAGGACACAAGGATTTAAAATGTGACATGTTTTTTTGCATGTATTTATATATATTTTTAGATATGAGCTGGTGAGAATCAGCATGGTGTAAATCAAAAAAAAAAAAAAATTGAGTTAAGTCAATATTTATGATTACAAAGGATCATTATGTAAAATTTTAGACTGGTGTAAGGTGTAAAGAAACTGGCAACTGTTATTTTTTAAAAGTTTGTTTTTCTGTTTGATTTTCTCTATGCTAATTCTAATAAAACCTTAATAATTACTAATTGAGGAAACGTTGATTAACACCATTCTGATTCTCACCGGCTCTTTTTACAAATTTCTTCTCATAAAGTAAATCTAATTAGGACTTAATTAATTGTCAATACAGCAATTAGTTAGATATGAAGAATATAATATTACAAAGAAAATTTTATTAGAAGAATATAATATTACAAAAAAAGTTATTTTCTAAATTGAAAATATTTTGTCTGTTTTGTTTTTATGTCTGCTCTCCTGAGCTTCTTCAGATAGGAGATAGGAACCAACTTGTCTCACAACCTGGTGAATAAACAATCATCTTGTAAACTCCAGCAGGCGGGTTCACTCCAGAAGGCAGGTTGACATGATGATTGTTGATTTTTAAAGATTCTTTTCAGCTGTGTTTGAATGAAAAAATCCAGAACCATTATATCAATAAATACATCCAATAAGTAACACACATTCTAAACAACCAATCCAGAAATGGAGAGTGTGGATTCCAAGGTTCAAAGACATCTGATTAGGTTGTCTATTGTAAACAATTTCAAAGTTATTCATTTTTTTGGGATTAATACCACAAATATTGCAAACTTGATAAGAATCACTTAACAGAAACTTTGTTATCAATCATAGTACATTCTAACTTGTGCATAGTACTCATCAATCAATTAGTATGCATCAATCATAGTACATTCTAACTTGGGCATAGTATTCATTAATCAATTAGTATAATCTTAATGTTGCACCTTGTAAAATTTTTATCTAATCTTGCTGTTGAAGTTCATTTACAATAAATTCCATATTTAATCATTTTTCCTAAAAAAATTTATATAACTCCTTATTTGTCTACCTATTTTATTTTATTTATCCGTTTTATTGCAATGATGAATAATATACTATTGACTACAGTCAAAGATTATGGTAAGAAGGAGGCATCCTAGATGATATATGCATATTTTTTTAACCAAACTCTTTAAAACATCATTAGTGAGTGTATATATTTATAATAGAAGCTAAAGTAAAACTAGAAATAATGATATTCACCTTAATAATTTTTCAACATCTGAACTTTTCACGGTTAGTGATTGAGAAATATCATTTTTTTCCTGAGCAATTACATTAATTATTTCCTCCATTTTACAAACTTGATCTTCAGCTTGCTTTGTTTTTACCTGACACATCTGCAAATCTTCCATGATTTGTGTTATGTGAGCATCATTCTTACCATAACCCTTTGAGTGTATATCGATTCTAAAATTAAAAAAGCAAAATAAAAAACTTATACTTATTAGGTTTTTTAAATAAAAAATAATCAAAAATAAGAATTAAAAAAGATATACTTTTCTGTCATTTCTTTAATTTTTTGTGTTTGTTCTTGCAAAATAGAATCTAGCTGTTCTTTTTTTTTCAACGCTTCACTAAGCATTTGAGAAACATTCTTTTCTACATTTATTGAACTTTTTAATTGAGCCTCAAGCCTGTTTATCTAATAAATGTGAGTAAAATATTTTTTAGTGTTTAAAGATTTTGAGTATAAAATACTAAAATAGCAAATAGTAAAATTTGTTTTAAAAAAAAATCCACCATGTCCTACCCACCTTGTCTCTTAAAATATTTTTTTGATTTTGTAAAGCAACAGCATGTGTTCTCTCTTTAAACAGAGATTTTTCTATTTTTTTATTATAGCCTAATATATGCTGATTTTTTTTAACTAAAGATATTCGCTCTATTTCGGTTGTATGAAGTCTTTCAGTAAAATGAAGAATCATCAAATTTAGTGAAGAAACCAAATCCTAAAATAAAACATTTATATCAATCTAAAATATTTTCAAATTTTTGAATTATTTTTTATTTATAAAACTTTAAATATACATAAGAGATGCAGGCCTTGTTTTAATGGGAAAACTGGCATGCCATTTACGTACACCATAAGCCATTTTACGTAAGAAGTAAGCTATTTCATGTAAGCCATTTTTTATCATTTATTAATATTTAAAAAAAGTAATTAATGTTATAAAAATCACTAATGAAGTTTGAATGACAATTAAATTTGATATTCAAGCTATTAACAAATGTAATAACTTAAAAAAGAAAGAAAATTTTATTTTTATTAAGCTAACTTTTCCATCAAAAAGGTTCAGTAAAAAAAAAGAAAAAAAGATGTTATATGCGCGTAAAAAAATAAACAATAAAATTAACATAATAAAAAACTTTTTATTTATTATCTTGCAAGAGCAAGAATATTTATTTAGACATTTTCTCAACAACAACAAAAATAATTATCCAATTTAAAAAAAATAAAAAAATTATTAGCTTAAAAATAGAACACGTTAAATTTAATAACTTTTGAAATTTTAAATTTTGTTTATTTAATTGTTATAATGATTTATTTTACTAAAAAAAAAGAGAAAACATTAATTATTAAAAACTTTAAACAATTTCTTATAAAGAGTTTATTTCTTCATAATTAAAAAATAATAAAACTTATGGATATAACTTTATTATTAATAATAGAGTTTCATCATAAAGTATATCACTTAAAGCAATATAGCTCTTGCAATGTTTTTGTTTATATTTATAAGTTTTATTTTGCGAAAAATAAAACTTATAAATAAAAAAATAACAGATAATATATAAATAACAATTTATAAAAATATAAAAATAACAATAGATAAATAACAGTTATATAAATAACAGATTGTGCAGTTATATAAATAACAGATTGTGATATCAAAAAAGTAAAAAAAGAAACTTCCTTATAATTAAGAGAGTTATTTTTTATTAAAATTAATAATTAGAACTGCCTTATCAACCTCGAAATTTCAGCATTTTTAGTAATTTTTAAGAATATTCCAAAAAATTAAAATTTTTTTAACAACATAAAAAATATGCAACAAATTTTATATCTTTACAGTAAATTAAAAGGAAGTTTTCTTTTAATACTTTTCCATTAAAACTGTTTAGTTTTCACTGTTCAGTTACAGCGAACATCTGAAAGTAAAGTTGATTTCTTTGGATTGGGAAATCTTTACAGGTGAATTTCCACCATTTGAAACAAATATTGTTTTTGCTATTCTTGTTTTGTTATTGTAGAATTAAGTGCATTGGCTAGAACAATTCCTCTTTCTGCACTATCATTGATAACTTTTAGTGCCTTAACAGTTTTCTTTGTGGCCTGATAATTTGGAACATCTGACCACTTCTTAACATCCTCCTTCAGAAAGGACATGTCTAACTGTAAGGCATCAAAAAAGAAACGTGAAGATGGTCCAATGAAATATCCAGAGGTTTTACACTCAGATCTTCAGTTCCAGTGTATTGGATTGATCGACTATAAAGTTCTAGATTGTCTGCAATCTGTTCATGCACTTTTGCTACCAAAAGCTTTTTCATCATAACAGGCACCAGATCAGAAAACAGACCAAGCGGTGCTAGTTCTTCTCCAAGATACCATAAACGGCAACCCACTGCTTTCAACGCATTTGTTGAGATAACTTTTGATGTTAAACTGTACTTTGTTAATGCTTCTATGAGATTTAAATTGTTGAATGGAACATTGCATGAGTATGAGCAGGTTATCGATGCTTTTACATAGATAAGAGCAACAAACAAACCAAATTCAAAGCACCCTTAACTTTCACATTTGGTGAGTTTAAATTGAGTTTGAAATAAGAAAATCTTTAAAACATAATTTTATTTTAGACATCCACCTCGCGTGTTGAAAAGCACCAGAAACTCAAAACTGCATGCTTCAAGGTAGAATATCTCCAAGAAAGATCAAAGAAAGTTCCAAAAGTTCATGATAATCTTCTATGGGTAAATTTCCTGCCTTTCCATTCAACACTCCTAAAATAAAATCAACAATCTCTCTCTTTAATTCTTTAAGTTCTTCATTTAAATGATGATTGGTGCAAGCTGTATATGTTTCTTGGTCTATGTTTGGCCAATATTCCTGAAATCGACTAAACAACAACACATTTGGACCAGAGGATGGACCAAAAACTGCCTTGAAGACATCGCCACACAGAACTTTATACACATGATGGCGAAATGACAACCAGAGTAAATTTTTTTCAAGTTTTCTTTCTAAATTGTAAAACACACTACTTAGTCAACTTGTGTTTGATGCCGTAGTGTAAAAAGAAATTGCAACTATTTGATTTTGCAATTTCCAATCAGAAATGGCAACCATTGTTGCATTTGCTATAAGCTCACCAGCCCCTTGCCCCACTTTAAGAATTGCCAAAAGGTAACAATAGTAATTACTAATTAGCTTATGAAAATAGGTACAAAAGTAAATATTTTAAAAATCAAGCCCGAAAATAAAAAACCTGCAAACTTTAGATCCCATGAGGCAGTTCTAAATAATTTATGATTTCAATAATATTTTATTTTTTGTTTTATAGGTCAAAAGAAATATAAATACCAAAGTGCTTCATACATACATACATACATACATACATACATACATACATACATACATACATACATACATACATACATACATACATACATACATACATACATACATACAACTTGTTCAACTATGAGTAATTCTGCAAGACAAAATTACTGGTTAGTTGTCCCCTACAAGATATTACTGGTTGGTTGTCCCCTTGCAGGCTAGAAAGGAATTAATGCCCTGCAATTATTTTAAGCCCTGTATGTATGTGTATGTGTGTGTACTTAGCTATATATGCATATATATATATATATATATATATTTATATATATATATATATATATATATATATATATATATATATATATATATATATATATATATATATATATATATATACATATATACATATATACATGTATACATATATATACATATATATATATAAATATATATATATATATATATATATATATATATATATATATATATATATATATATATATATATATATATATATATATATATATATATAAAACAAAAATTTTAAAATGATCTCTCACATTGCTATTTGACAAACTTTTTCTTATTCTAAGCAATCTCTTCAGACCATTTCCCAGTAATTCTATAAGTGATGATGTTCCAACACTCATAGGGTATTGTTTCTGTACATTCTCACAATATTCACACAAACATGAACCTACTAAATCTGCAAGATCTATACAAAATGAAAAGTAAACTTTCAGTTATAGAAAAAAGCTATTGTTTTAGAAAAAAAACTATAAAAATACACTGTTTTTTTCGTTAAAAAATATACTCCTAATAATCATCGTGATGTTCAAAAACAATTATAAAATGTTACTACTTGTAAGCGTGGTTTGGCTTTTTAATCTTTGGGCTCGTGGTTGTCAAGCAAGAACTTGTTTTCATGACGGCACTTAGATATTATTTCTGTTTTTTTGCCTAATAATTCTTGCGTACCTTTGTATGATATTATGCAAAGTTTTTCATGAAGGCAAAGCTAGCATTTTTTTTGTTACGTTGCTGTAGGCGGGGACTTGTTTAATTATTGACCAGGTTAATTTGGGTGTGATTTTTAAGTTTTTTTTTATCTGCCATATATACTTTGTAAGGGTGGTTGCATTTTTCATCTTTTTGTTTGTGAATGAGTGTTTGTGGTTGCCCATCTTTGCTTCCATTCACCTTCTACTAGGCCAATATATACTTTTTCTGGAGTGTTAGGAGGGGATACTATACATTTATAAATATCGTTTGAGGCTCTACATTTTCCTATTATAGGGCAGTTTTCTTTATTTATGTAATTGCAGGTGGGTATTCTTTTGGTCTGTTTGAACTGATTTTCTTGTAATGGCTCTTTATAATTCTTTCGATATTTTTGGTGCAGCTGTAACTCATTTTGATAGTGTTTCGATTGAATAGTTTACTTAGGGGGTGGGATGTTGGAAAATGTTTGTCGATTAAGTTTAGGAAGATATGTCCGACATTGGTAGAAACGCTTTCACTATACGGGGGGTTGAACCATATTATATTTCTTTTTCTTTTCTTTTTTTTCTTAATTCATCTTCGTATTCTGGTATAGATAAATTAAATGTTTTTTCATTTAAGGAATTTTGTGATAATCTGTCGTTGATAGAGATGGGGATTTGCTTTATTATTTGCGAAGGATGGTTGGAAAAAAACAGAAATAATATCTAAGTGCCGTCATGAAAACAAGTTCTTGCTTGACAACCACGAGCCTAAAGATTAAAAACCAAACCACGCTTGCAAATAGTAACATTTTATAATTGTTTTTGAACATCACATTGTTTATTAGAAGTATACTTTTTAACGAAAAAAACAATGTATTTTTACCTGATGATTGCTAAATGCATGAAACTCTTAGTAGTAAAAATAATGTAGTAATTTTTTATTTAATCTCGTCAAAAAATCAATTATAAAGCTCTGATATCATTCATCGAGCACTCTTGCTGAATATATGCTCATAGCAAAATTATTAATAGACTTTAAGAGTCATCATTTTGGTAATGACATTTTGTAAAAAATGTCATTACGCATTAAGAACTGGCAAATATTCATTTAAATTCGGATTACAAAGTTTACTGAAAGGCAAAGTTGACTTCAGATTTGACTTAATCAAAATCGGTGCCGGATTTGAAACCAAGCCTTCGCAGGAAATGTGTGCGGTTTTTTGTCTTGTATGACCACACTTAAGTATTTTATTTTTGACAACTTGGTCATTGCCATTTGCAAGTTTTTTAATATTAATAATTGCAAAAAAAACTAAGTTTCAAAAACAAATGAAGCTAAACTGACAAAATCGGAAAGAAATTTAAATAAAAAAAGAAATTTAAATTAAAAAAATAAGAAGAAATTATTAACTTGAATAATTAGTGTACTGTTTTTATTTTAGTTTCTTTAGAGTGGTTGTTATTTTCAGTAACAAAATTAGATAAGGCAAAGCAAAAAAAAAAAAAGTCTTCATTAAAAATAATTATTTTCCTAAACATTATTTTATAAAGATGAAAGCAAAAATATAAATCGCAATGTGTTTGTAAAATATATTTGTATAATTTGAATGTAACAAGTATATATTGTATAACAAGTATATACTTTTTACATTAAAATTATACAAATATATTTTACAAACAAATAGCAATTTATATTTACGCTTTTCTCTTTAAAAACAAAACAAATAAAATATTGGAAAATCATTCTTTTCAATGTTTTTGCTTTTTTTGCTTTGACTTTTTGACAAATTTTTTTGCTAAAAATAACAATCACTCTAGAGAACTAAAATAAAAACAATTTATTTAAATTATTATTATTATAACTTTCTTTCTATTTAAGTCTAATTTAATTTCCTATTTTATTAGTTTTGCTTTCTTTGTTTTTGAAACTTTTTTCAGCAACACTTAACATAACAAAAATGGATTTTACCTAGTACCTAGTACCTATGCATACCTATGTACTTAGTACCTATGCATTTTAGTCATATTACTAGAAGCGTAAAAAGTTTATCCCTGAACAATATCTAGCTAACCCAGCCATACTTCAAATTACCAATGATGAATTAAATATCTATACATAATATTTATATTATCTTCTGGTTCTAAAAGCTAACTCAGACATGTTCCAGAAACAAACATATTTTTTCGTGGAGACAGCAATAATGTATGTAGGGAAGAGTTGCCTTAATTGGAACAATTTAGGAATAAATATGTATTAACCAAAGATGGCTTAACTATGAAAACATTAATGATTTGATTAATACAAACAGACATCCCTACTATACTTTTAACCACAATTTGACTTAATTGATTGCACTGTTGTTGGAAATAAATTTGTTTTTGCAAAGTTACCATTTTGTTCCCATCAAGGCAACTGGTACCCTAAATTGGAACACTGTGATTCCTTAATCAAAACAGGTTATTTAAAAAAAAAAACAAAAAAAAACAACAGAAAAATCAACAAAAATTTGTAAAAAATGATTTTCATCTTTACAGTGAAAATTTAAACAGTTAATTCAAAACTTATTATAGGATTAGTATTACCCTGACAAATTTAAAGTCTACAAACAAAAAATTGTATAAAGCTTTAACTGTTATGAAGTTCTCTTAATTTATTGATCACTAAATAAAGTATTATTTTTAAGGTTTATGGTTATTACTAAGTATTTTTTTAATTGTATTCGAACTACTTTTACAATCCTTTGATTTTATTACTGATTAGGTAAAATTTAAGGAAAATTTAAGGAAAATTTCAATGTTCCAACCAAGGAAACCTTCGACTATTTTGTTATATCACTACAATAAGATGCTTGCAGCAACTTATAAAATAAGTTTATATTGTTATTTTGCATTTTAAATCCCATTGAATTAAACACAAAAAACGCCAGCGCAATCAGTATAGTGTGAACACAAAATTACCCAGCGCAATCAATATAGTGTGAACACAAAATTAATAAACACATCGAGGACATATTAGTTCCTATATATTTTTAAACAGCTTGTTATAGATAACAAGCTGTTAAAAAAATTTTAAATTTATAAAAGTTCATTGAATCACTCAATGAATCAATAAAAATAGAGAGCTGAGTCTCAATGAATCATTGAGACACAGCTCTTTCTTTTTACAAAATTGATAAAAACAAAACTTTTAAACACTAAGTCTTAAATATAGTTTTTTACTAATTTTATCAACTAACCTGAGAAATTTGCTTTAGCCACTTATCGAGGTATTTTGTATCATTCTTTTCCAAACAATAAAGGTTTTTATAACAATTGCTACAAATAACTTAATTTGCTAAATTTTGATCATAGCTATCCCAAATAAAGTTTTTTTTTTCTTCAATAGCTTCAAATATTTTATGAAGCTTTGCTGACTTTTTACTAAGGGTTTTAAAACAACAACACATTAATGTTGACTGCCATTTAGTAAAACTCAAGTTGTTGTGCACCAGAGTAGGTTTAAATTTAAAAAAACGCCGGCATTTGATTAGCAAATTATTGCTATTTTGTTGAAAATAACGGATGTTTTTTAACCAAAAACTATACTTTTTAGTTCTTAATTTTCATAGATTTTAACATTCCCCTAGAGGTTTTTACTAAGTAAACATTTATTTTCATATATACAACAAGTATATATATATAAAAAAAAATCTGATGTGGGGAGACTTCGAACCTGGCGGTCACTGTGGTTCATTGTGAACACCAAATTGCATTTCTCAATTTATTTTTATTAATTTTGAGATACTTAAATTTATTTTGGTATGTAATCTAAATTTTTTCATATGCCTTTTCAAGATATTATTAAAAAATCTTTAATGTATATAAATCAAACACGGTTTTACTGTTTAAGTTAAATACATAGTTGGTAATATGACTTTTTTGCTTAGGTTTGCAGACAATGTTTTAGATGTTGTTTTTTTGTATTTGGTTTGTTGGATATTGTAAGTGGTCACAATTGTTGTTATTGGTTGTTAATGTTAGTTGTTGGTTGCATGGTGCAATAATGTATCAAATTTGTAAAAAATGTAAAAAATTACTCGATTTTCAATATAGCTCAAGTCTTAATCAAATTGTTATATTTTTGTAAGAATATTCAACCAATTTGTCAACATACTATTTAAATAAACTTGTTTTATTTATATAAACATGTATTCTATTTAAATAAACTTGTGTTTTATCTAAATAAACTTGTGTTCTATTTAAATAAACCTATGTTCTATTTAAAATAAACTTATGTTCTATTTAAGTAAACGTGTGTTCTATTTAAATAAACATGTGTTTTATAAACTTGTGTTTCATTTAAATAAATATAAGTTTAAAAAAATCATCTTCTGGCAAAACTTTTTTTTTGAACTGTCTGAAATAAATGTCTTAGTTGCATCTCATTCTATATATTTTCTATTTACGATACTACTTTTATGTGTGTTTCCTTATTTATTTATTTTTTATCTAAGCAACAAAACTAGGTCAAGTGTTGTGGATTTTCAACATTTAATAAATAGTTTTACTATTTAATTTAATATATTGTTGACCCAAAACTATGTCAAAATTGTTGTTTCTAAAGTATTTTAATAGCATGAAAGAATTTAATCAAATATAAAATATAATGCTATTTGTGTATTTTAAAGCTTAGTCTAGATATTTTTACCTTAAATGCGTTAATTGCATTTTGTTGTTGTTGCTATTATACCTACATTTTTTTTCTTATGTAATCTGTTATAAAGTATGTCCAAACATTTTTTAATGCATTTATTTTATGGGAGTACATAAGAACACAGTAAAAATTAAGTTTCTTCATAAAATTATATGAAATATATGAACTTCGATAAAGTTAACCATGTACTCATAGTTATGTTCTGTAGCCTTAGTTAAGGCCATTACAAACACATTAAAAACACTGCCTCAAGACAATGTTTTAAATTATTTATTAATAATGACTATTTTTCAAAAATATTTATAAATTTAGGTTTTAAATTACTGTTAGAAAAATAAAGTAGTAATTAATTAAATTATGTAATTGTCGCAGGGCAAAAATCTTAGTTTAATGCTCATTTTTGAAAAATGCATCTTAAAATATAAAAAATATTTTAAATAGGTTTCTAAAAATTTCATTAAAAAAGTTCAGTAAATTATGAATGCACTAGCCTATAAGCTTTCTGAGCATAGATAACAAAAGTTTATCAGGAAATAAACTATCGGGTTTAAATACACAATATGGAAAATCCAACAAATGTCCAGACTATTTCAATAGAGATAGTGAAAACAACCAAGTATATTATATTTAAACATTAGCATTAATAAATTCTTATTACTTTACATAAAAAACTTGTTAAAAACTAAAAAAAAAAATAGCAATTAGCTTTTTTGCTTTCCGGTGTTTTGATAAAAACAGTCAAGTATAAAAAAAACATTTAAAAAACAAACTTTAAAATTGTTCTTATTTCTAGTGCAAATAATAAAGCATTTCCTTAATAACCAAAGTCGACAAAAGTTATTTCCTTTTTATTGAGTATTTTTATTTTATTCTCAGTAATTTCTTAGAGCTTTATTTTGCTGCCAATTCTTAATATGCTTACTATATAAAAACCTTGTGGATGAACAAGGCATGCAACTGCACACCCTTTCTGTCAAGGTTTGAATGAACCACTGAATATTAGGCTACAAAACCTATTGAATTGAAGACCTAATTTTTAAAAATCAGACAGATTTTAATAACTTCAATTGAATTTAAAATGTCTATCCAGCATGAGTAGAGTGTCAAAATCAAAATAATAACAAACTCTTCAAGATCATAAATATTTCAACTCAACAGGAACAATATAAATTTTGGTATGCCTGCTGGTATTTAAAAAAGATATTATATTTAATCTAAGAATATTCACAGATGTTAACTTAGGCACTAGAGTTCTAGGCTCTTGAAAAAAAAGCTAGATACTTTATCAATCAAATCAGAATTGGTTCATTTGTGGACCATATTAAATGGTTTATCAATTTGGGGTTGTTCTCCTTCTTCAACTTGCAACAACTACATTGCAAATAAATATAACACATATAAAATATATTATATATATACATAAAATACCTGAGCTATTTAAGTCTGAATTACATTGGTGTATTTTTTTAAAAATAGATAGAGCAGCAAGTTTAGCCACACATTCAAAATTTTTGTTGTTTAACCATAACATTATATTGCTTTCACAACGAAATATCTTTCCTTTATATGAATACTTTGTAGAAGACTGTTTTTGGAATAAAAATCTATTTATAACCAATACAGCTATTACAATTATTCTAAATTTAAATATTCCTGTAAAACCTTGCACAAGTTTACTATCTAAACACATCTCTGCATTCAATGTTGCATTTAAAGATGCAATGTTATCTTTAAATTGCAATAAATACTTGACCATAGCTGTTTGCACAACCTTTTCTGTCAATAAATGTTGATTGTTTACATAGTATGCCCATAACCCGCTAGTTATAACCATGAGAGAAATTCTAAGAAGCTCATTGTCTTCAACAAGTTGCTGAAGAAGTTCTTTTGTTTTATCCAAATTTTCTTTTTGATTCAGAAGCGATTCTTGCAACACAACATCATGCTTAAAAAATAAAGAAATTTTAAATAAAACTAAAGATCAAAAAAATATATTGTATGAAACACATAAAATATTAACTCATTTCAAATACTTCTACCATGCAAAAATACTTGCAAAAATAAAAATATAATAAATAAAGTACTCTAATTGAAAATTAAAATTTGTTCTAGAACTGATTAATAACTTTGATCAGTTTTTAATAATTTTACCATATATGCATGAGCGGAACAAAGATTTTCTTAGTGTTAAAGATAACTTCAACCTTTTGTATGTTTATACCAGAATCAAATTTCAAATAATAATCACAGTAACTGAAGGCTTTAAATAAAATATCAAAATATTTTTTTTACCACCATGTGAATGGAATAATTTTTTGCTTTGGTTTTATCTTTAATTAAAATTCATCATTAAAATCCAAACTTCATCAAAAAAATGTGTAGATATTTGAGTGGTATAACAAACAAAAGGGAGATTTTTAAATAGCTAATATTTGACTTGGACAAAACTAAAAGACTTCTTAATTGGGTATAGCTCTGCCATAAGTGTATATTTATACTGCCAAAGAATTTTCTTGGCAATAGCAGTATATATTTATAATTAATTGCATTAACTGTAATTGAATTAAACATGGTTTTTACTGACCATAAATGCAAAGGATTTTTTTCTATAAAAAGTCTGATAATATTATCAGTTTTTATTAGTTTATTTAAATACTTTATCAATTTGTGATTTTTAAGACAAGTGTGAAACTGACTTTTTAATATCCATCATTTTTATATTTACCATTCATGCTGTACAAAATTTTTATGTTTGTGCTTTTAATTTACAAATAATTGTTAACTTATCATTAATAAAACTAATAACAACAAATTTTCAATCTAAACGTAAAAATATATATTAAACTTACATCCTTTTTTTCATCATTAAACTTTTTAATTAAAATATCTTTTTCTCTAAGCCATTTTTCTTTTCCATTTAACAGAGCTTTTTCAGTCTTTCAAATTAATTAAACAAAAAACAATAGTAAAAGAAATTTTAAAAATATAATCAACAAAAAACTAATGTGAAATCATTAAAATCAACATCTTAGGGCATTTCCAAAAAATCACGCAGGGAAATTCGTATATGTTTTTACTTTTATTTTCATAAAAATAAAACTAGCGATCTCCAATTTACTCTTATTTAATTTTAATCAATATAAATATTTTGCAAACAAAAAATAGTAAGCATTAGTAATCTTAACAAAGAATAAATAAAGTTTGAAATGGAATCACGCACGGAACAGAAAAACTTCTATATTAGTTACTAGATAAATAAACTATAATTCCTCGGAAAACATAAGTTTCACCGGTATACTTTTTTTTTTAAATAATATTTTAAACATTAGTAAAGGTTTCCAGAAAGTTACAGGATTGCACTATAAATCATAGAGTCACAGCAATCGTTTAAATGCAGTTTATGAATGATCACGAACAGAAGTCACGCACAGATGTTGCAAATTTGTCAATTTCATGTAGTTATTTTTATGAAAATAAATTGCTTGTGAGTATTTCAAGTGAAATATTATACTTCTACGACTCTTATTTAATATATTTTTGATGAGAAATGGCAGTCATCAGTTATTTCTAGCTAGAGTATTGCGTTTTGAAAGTTATTGTATATTTTTTAAAATCTAGCGATATTATTACTCAAAAAAATAAAATTGTAAAAATGTGTATATTTAATTTATTCAGATAGCCTAAAATATGATAAAAATATTTTTGTTATAATTGTTCTTTAAGAAAATCAAAATAGTATGAATATTGCATAAAGTCCCAGCTTTTAATTGCTAAAACAAAGAAAAATAAAAAATCATGCACAGAAATGGAAATGCCCTTAGGATTTAAAAATAAAACACCTACTTTTGTCTCTCTCAATAAATAAATAAATAAATAAATATATATATATATATATATATATATATATATATATATATATATATATATATATATATATATATATATATATTAATGGTAAATAAGAATGCTAAGCTAGAAATTTTTTTTTTTTTTTGTTAATTCACCTCCTCAAGTCCCAGAAGGCCACTACAGACAGTCCCAGAGGCTACTTATTTGTGGTTATGACTCTCTCTCAACTCTATAACTCCGAAACACAGACCTTGACGAACAAGGCCGCTACACAGAGAAACAAGTTAATTTATTTACCAGCTAAAAGTTACCAGCTAAATGTAAAGTACTGCAGGTAGAGAGAAGTTTACAATAAAATAATCTTAAAAGCAATGACCTACCTCAGTGAGAACTTGGGTGTTAAGATTTTCCAAGTGTTTTAGAGCAATTTTTTGTTGTGCAATAATTTCATTTTTTAAAACAAGCTCATTTTCAAACTCTAAGATCTACAATAAAATCAGAAATAAGGACAAATAAAATTGATTACGTCTTTACTATAAATCTATCAAAAAATATTTTTTTAAATTGTATTTATTTAAGTATTTTATACCTTTAAACAAATGCATATATTTATTTAATAAGACATAAGCATAAACCAACTTTAGCCTAAATATTTTAATATGATTAACAATGACAGCGCTTTTCTATACTGCCATATAAAAATATAATAGCTCTTAACATCTCCTGTATAAATCACTTTTTATTTCATTTCATAAAATATTTAACTAATAACATGCTATTTAATTTTACTTATTTCTTAATATTTAAAAAAAAATTAAAGTATAAAACTATCAAGAGGAATGTCATCATATGTCTATAACTATAAGTCATTATAAAAATTATTCTTATAGGTATTGTATCTTATCGGTATTATTATCTCATTAATAACTATACTTATAACGTTTAATATTATATGTTGTGTTGAATTTGCATTATCGGCAGAATTTCCTGTTTTGATGAACTTTGATTGACTGATAAAGAGAACATGCAGTGGAGTGTACATAGATTGACTGATGGTAAGGGTTTGGGCAAGCAGCTTTTTTTGATTTGACTTTTTTTTTATGAATATATTATGTTTATATCAGAAACAGCAAAAAAACTGCAGATTACACATATTCAGCAATATATATATATACATATATATATACATCAGGCTTGGTCGGGAAGCAGGTGCGATCGCACTCGATAATTGACCACGGAAATAATATTTAGTTGCGTAAAACCGACCAGATTTTTTAGTCGTTTTGAGAACATTTCAAAAACAAACAAAATAGCGCAACAAGATTAACTGGACCGTTCAGAGGCAGTTAAATAAAGAAAACAGCTTTTAACGCAAAAAAACTTTAAGCAAAAAAATACGATCAGAGCAAATATTTTTAAAACCTCGTTCTTTTATATTTTTTTTATAAAATTAGGCGACATTTTTTATATAAAGTAACAACTTACTATTAATGATTATTTAATAAGGAAACAAATGTTCTTTAATTTATCAACGAGTATAAAATTTTTATTTATATACTTTATTTATATACTTATACTATATTTATATACTTTTATATTTTATTTATATATGTCTTATTTCCGGTGCTGGATTGAGGAGGTGGGGGAGAGGGGGATGGGGTAGAAGGGCTATAGCCCCTGGACTGGAATGTTAGAGGCCGCAAAATAGCCAAAAGGACCATTCAATATTTTTTTAGTCATTTTTATGCTGTGGCACATAATAAATGCCAATAAAATAATGCAGCCCGCGGCCCTAAAAAGTCCAACAAGATTCAACCAGTAAAACTAACTTTAGAGGATTTATTTACAAATAAAAAGGTTTTTTTAATAACTTTTTTTATGCTTGGCGTAGTTTGAAAAGTTTAACACATTTGAAACTATTCTTTTTAGTAAGATGAACAAATGAAATAATTAAATCATTGAGTTACTGTAGAAATTACTTAGTGAGGAGGAAGCGGAACAGCTTCACATTACCGCTGATAATGTTTAGTGAGTGGGTTTTATGATTTTAATTAGTATTTAAAACAGAAAAGAGTTAAGTATAACAAGTTTGTAAGAATGGCTGAAGCAAAAATAATTGAAGTTAGTTAACCAATTTCTAAGAACTTAAAAACTTTTCTTTCTAAGAACTTAAAAACATAAATTTAAAACATTTATTTTTGCAAACAATTAATGTTAATTTAAAACATTTAAAGCTTTGTAGATGTGGCTTCGAGAATGACATAGTATTAAAATAAAAGTTTGTTTGATAGTATATTGTTAAAATAATTTATGCTAGAAATCTAACAATAACAAAACTCAAATAATACAACTTTTTAAAATAATTCAACAGAATACTCTAGAACATTCGGTTAGTATTTTTTGAATACTCTAGAAATTTCCGCTAGTATTTTTTGAACCAATAGAATTAGTTGTTAGTAGATTTGGAAGGTTTTTTGTGTTCACGAATATTCTTTATTTTATTTTTCCGCACAAAGTTTGAGAACACTTGAGTTTATGTATGTTTCCGTGCAAATCCGTAATAGAAGATTTACGATAACTTAATATTTATTTTGCGGACAAACAAGGAAACATACGCGAACTTGAATGTTCTCAAAACGACTAAAAAATCTGGCCGGTTTTTTGCAACTAAATATTACTTCCGTGGTCAGTTATCGAGTGCAATCGCACTCGCTTCCCGACCAAGCCTGATACATATATATATATATATATATATATATATATATATATATATATATATATATATATATATATATATATATATATATACATATATATATACATACACATATATATATATATAAATATATATATATATATACATATATATATATATAAATATATATATAAATATATATATACATATATATAAATATATATATACATATATATATATATATATATATATATATATATATATATATATATATGTATATATATATTTATATATATATATATATATATATATATATATATATATATATATATATATACATATACATATACATATACATATACATATACATATACATATACATATATATATATATATATATATATATATATACATATATATATACATATATATATTATATATATATATATATATATATATATATATATATATATATATATATATATGTATATATATATATATATATATATATATATATATGTACATACATACATACATACATACATACATACATACATACATACATACATACATACATACATACATACATACATACATACATACATACATACATACATACATACATACATACATACATACATACATATATATATACTCCCCCAACCAAACTGGAAAATATCTTTTATATGTTTACCAGGATTGGAAACCTTCACTAATAACAAAAAGTAGTGACTAATCGAAGAACACACTGTAAAATATAGATAAAATACAATTTGTGAAAGCAACTCTTAAAATTGATTTTAATTAGCTTTCTCGTTAATGCATATATGTGTGAAAACAAGAAACATATGATAGCAAAGAAAGATTAATACTATCTAATAATAAAGATTAATAGATTATATTTCTTTAATACATGATAATGACTTACAACACTTTTATATTTTTCTTCAATTCCCTTTTGAAACATCTCCTTTGTTTCATAAGCTTTGTGTTGTTTAATTTTCTCTTCTAATTCTGTGCATAACATTTTCAGCCGTAGAACAGTGTTCTTATTATCATTTAATTCCTTTTCTTTCTCCTAAAACATATAATACGTATAAATCCTAAAATTTTTAAAATAGCTATTCTCGTAAACAAAAATTATATAAAAATATTTTTTTAAAGGTAGTATTAAACATTATTTCAATATTTAGAAAAGTTCTCCTTGGAACATGATTTAAACTTGCAAGAACACAGAACAAAATATAATTTTTTTACATTATATTTTAATTTATTGAGTTATGTAAACAATCATTAATTAACAAAATTGGTAATCGTCAAAAATATATATTTTTTATTTAGATTTTTTGTACATAAATATCTAGTTATATTATGTTATATAACAATTTTTAACTTTGAAAAGAAAAAAAGAAAAAAAAGAAAGTTAACAAAAAAGTAAAAAAAAAACATAGGTGATAAAAATATAATACTCATATATTGTTTTTATATCAATAATAGTACTAAATCTTTTGCAATAAAATAAAATGTGCATAATATATATGCTGCAATTTTAATGTTTAATTAACATAAAGATAATATGGATAACATTTATTTTTTTGAACTTTGAATTTATAATTTATTACCATGCATATTAATATATATATTACTCTATATTAATATGCATGGTAGCAAAGATAACCACGATGTATGTAAAAAAAGGTTTTTGACTATTTAAAAATTTGTTGAATAAAATGACGAATCCATGGCAAAAAAAAATAATGGAGCCATGTTATACTTTTTTTCATGCACACTATCACTTGCAAAAAATTAATGAAGAACATTTATTTTTCTGGTTGATAGGCAGCAAAGTATTTTGCCTGGAAAAAAGGCAGATGTCTAATGGTATTTTGGCAGGTGACTGATGGTAATTTGGTAAATGACTAATGGTATTTTCTAAGGTGACTTCGATATTTTCTTAAGATTAAACATTTAGAGCACTACTACATTCTTTTTCTGCACAGTATCTAACACTAATTCTTTAACATATGTTATCAGGATAAAATTTTAGAATTTATACTCATTTCCATTTTAGAGTGCTTTAATACCTTTTTTCTCTGGTGTCCTCAGTGAGAATTGCAAAATGCACCTCTCAAATGTCTACTCAGGCATTTTTTACCAGCTGTTTTCAAACATTGAATAAAATTATTCTTGATATTCTTTTTTTAAACTGCATAATTGATTATAACAGCTGACTCAGTAGTTGATTATAACAGCTGACTCAGAGAAGTAGTTATATACTGTTTTAATAAATTTGAAAAGTATATAATTATATACATTTTGTTTCCTTTGTTGAATTACTCCCTAAAAATAAATTACAAGTTATTTATATAAACATAGGTTAGAGTCTACATAGTCCATTTAGATATACATGTGCATCTCACAATTGAATTATTAATAGCTAGAATAAATAGTCATTCTACAGATATGAAATTTAAAATTTTTTTTCAGTGCTGTGCAATTGTGGTAGACAGTGCTATATAGAAAAAATGACTTGCAAAAAATAAAAATAAAATAGTATTGTCCAAACAAACTTTGGGTAAAATGTTTTCGATTATATATGTTACAAAAAAATATTGAAAAACTTTAAATATAACTTTTAAAGTTCATCATAGTCGATATCTGTTTTGTGTCTTTTCTTTTTGTCAATCTTAACAAAAGTTTATTATGAGGAGCAAAAAGATTGAAAGCCATAACCGCAAAGAAACGTTTTATAAAAAGAAAAATACTCTATTATTCTCTCTTAATCTTTAATAAAATTTAATTTAGCTGAATGTTTAAAACATGTTTTTATCGTAATTTATTATACTGACTCCTTTTTTTTAGAAAAAAAGAACTTTCACATGCATCATTAAGAGCATTCTAATAATGTTTTTTCATGTGCATCCTAATAATGTTTTTTATTATGTTAATTTTGTTTGACAAAGTTTGAATTGAAAGAAAATGTAATTTTAAAAATCATTTCAACTCAAACAAATTGAGAAATACATTTTGCGATTCTCACTGAGGACACCAGAGAAAAAAGGCATTAAAGCACTCCAAAATGGAGATGAGTATAAATCCTTAAAATTTATCCTGATATATGTTGAAGAATTAGTGTTAGATACTGTGTAGAAAAAGAATGTAGTAGTGCTTTAAATGTTTAATCCTAAGAAAATACCTAAGTGCTTCAAAATGCAACAATGTTAAAAAAAACAGTACAACCATGCTTTGAAATATTGAATCATGAGTCGACTTCTTTTTATTATGTTTAGAAAAATTATTTAATGTACCGTAGTGTACTTATTATTAAGCAAAGTGTATACTACTTTAAATGCTTTTTAAAGGTTTCTTTTAAATAATCACAAGGGAAATCTTCATAGTTCAATCTTGTTGGTATTATTACAACCTAAACTTTTTATATAACACAGAGGTTATTTATTTTTATATTTATAATAAAATTAAAGTTAAATATTTTTTTTACCTTTATGGTTGTATCACTTGCTTCTTTTTGTGCATTGTAATCAGCTGAAAGATTTTTTAGTAGGACCGAATCTAACTTGATCTATAAACCAAATTAATCAAACCATGATAATATAAAACTACATACTTATAGAGAAATTACATTTATAAAGCTAAAACCTTTAGAGAAAAAGACAACGACACCTACTTTATCCTCTAATGCTGTGATGGTCAATTTGTATTCTTTGAAAAGGTCTTTAACACTAGTAATCAGTCCATTTATATCTTCAGCTGTAAAACAAAGAAGTTATTCATACAAAAAAATTAATTAGGAGAAAGAAAAAAAATATATATTAAACTATTGGTTGTGTACCTTTGCCCCAACTTTATTTTAGAGAAATCAAAACATTTTCATGTTAGCAACACTTTTGGAAAATATTTCTAAGAATGTTTCTGAGCATTTTGGAACAAATTCAATATTGAAAAAAAAAATTTTACAGTAGACCCAAAAAAATTATTTGTTTCAGAGTAGACCTAAAAAAACTATATGTTTCACAGTAGACCCAAAAAATATATATATTTAAATTATATGTCAATATTGAAAAAAAAATTATGTTTCACAGTTTCACCCTAAAGGCGAAAATATGGAAATAGAACCATTACTTTAGATTGAGACTTCCTAGAAAACTCATTGAGGACTTGTTGTAAAAAATAGCTTTTAAATATTTATAACTTTGTGAACTGGGTTCTAATTACTAAACCAGAGATTTTTGACAAACTAACGCGTAACTGAAAAATTAATTTACGAGATTCACCTAAAAAAAAAGTTTACTTGATTGACAATTTCATCCAGTTGTGTGAAAGATTTTAATTGTTTTCAAACAGATGATTCAGTGATGTTAGCATCAATCTTTAACAGTATAAAGACAAATCTTTTTTTCTTAAAATATTCTTTTTTCAAATGTTTATAAGGTATCCATTTCATTCATTTACTTTCAAATCCATGTGGATTAAATGTTGTTTTTAGAAAGTTTCTTTTGTAACTGAAAATGATATTAAGTTTGATTACTTTATCTCATCTGCTTTAATAAATTGAGTGAAAAAAATAAACTTCAGAGATATATTTTTAGTTTTTATTTTTCTACATTGCATTAATTTATTCAGTGTATTTTTACTGAAACGCAAACAAAATAAGCTCAAACAAATAAGTAAAATTTATTTCTTAGTTTCAACCAAAAACCAAATATTTTAATATTTTCAGGTAAAAAACAATCATTGTTTAACTGTTTAAAATCAAATAAATAAGAAAAAGTGTTAACTTTCCTCAGTTGCTCTTAGTATATCTAAAAAGTAGAAATGCTAAATATTTTAAAAACATATGTCATAGTAAAGACAAGTTAGCATTTTTGGCAAAATTTAATCTAATTTTTTCTTTTTTAAATTTAATATGGAAACTTAGTTACTAATTATTAAAACAACTGAAAAAATTTGTGTATTTTAAATACTTTCAAATATTTACATAATAATTCCTTAATACATTAAATATCAAATTTCATGGTTTAAATTCATTTTAAATGAAAAGCATCCTAACTTACTAACTTTTTATAGGGCCACAATCAGACTTGCTTCTGACATGTTAAAAATTGCCAAAGCCAAGCCTGAGTCTTCTATGCTAAAACTTTCAAAAATTTCAAAACAAAACAAAAAAATTTACAAATTTACTAACTTCCAAATTACGTATCATCACTTAGAAAGTTGCAAGAAAAATAATTTTTTTTTAATATATCTACAAATTTATTTAGCTTAAGAATAAACAACGTTAAAAAAAAAATGACTTTGATGAATGATTTGATATGACTTTCTTCATAAAAATATTTACTTCTTTATTAAATATCTACTTCTGGGCCCACTGTGAGTATATAATTATTCTAAGATTTAAAAATTCTTTTTAAATTTTTTAAGATTTATTGCTTGTTTTTATTTGGTTTAGCATATAATTATAGAGTATACTAGATTTAGTGTGTAAAACTTGTTAAGGTTTAAGACCTTAAGGTGATAAAAAATTTTTATCACCTTAAGGTCTTAAACCATTTCACTAACAACTAAATTAAAAAATTTGACATAAAATCTTATATCGATACTTTATTTGAGTTTTTTTTAAATATAACATCCAACAGCCATTTTTCAAAATGCCTTAATGCCATTATTTATAACAATGCCTTAATGCCATTATTTATAACAAAAAGACAACCTTCTCTTAAATTAACATTATTTACCTCTCTAAAGTCATAGAAGTCACAAAAAGAAAACCTCTTAAATTAATATTATTTACTTCTCTTAAGTCATAGAAGTCACAAAAAAACAACCTTCTCTTAAACTTATTCCTCCAAAACACAAACCTTGTCGCGTAGTGGCGATCAAATTTGAGTTAAACAACAATAGGAAGAAAAAAAAGGAAAAAAACTACTATTTTACCTGGTAAACGCTTTGAGTCAGAAATTTTGTACAAATGAATAACATTTTTTAGATCTTCTAAAACCAACTTGTTTTTCATTTCACTTGTATCTTTAGTTTCAATTGCCTCAATCAACTTTTTTTTACACTTAAAAAAATATTTTAATTATTTATTATTTATTCATATTTTCATTTATTTTTTATTTAATTATTATTATTACTATAACTAATTAATAACATTGCTATTTAAAAACCATTGCTAGTAATTATCACCATGATGATAATCATCATCATAAAAATATTCAACATGAAGATGGGAGAGAGTTCCAAAGGGTTGAAGTGCGGAAAACTAGACAAATATTTTTAGAGCATGCAGGGACAGATACAGTAAAAGAATAAGACTTTGCTAAATGACAAGTCAAGCAAGCATGAGTTTTGGTTGATGGAATTTTAAGTTGTGTAAAATCTGAAACTTAAGGTTGCATTTTCTGAAAAATTGGATCACATGGAGCTGCTCACTAAAATAGTAACATTGTAATAAAAAACTAACTTTGTGTAGAACTTCAGAGATAACTTTAGCTTAATCAAAAATCTACAACTCTATTAAGTAATTTTAAGTAACTTTTAAAAAAAATATTTTCGTACTTTTTATAAATTCAATATGAATTTGTTTGTAAATTTTTTATTTACTTTAGAATTTAGATTTATTTACTTTAGAATTTAGATTTATTTAGTTTTCTTGGCAATTTCCCAAAATTAAATTTTTCTAACGAAACTTTTTTTCTCGTTGCCATTACCACTTACTTGCAGGGTTGGTATTAAAAAACCCGCCCAAAAAACCCCGCCCAATAAAATCCAAAAAAACCCGCCTAAAAAAACCCAAAAAAACCCTGGAAAATCTGGGTTTTATTGGGCTTTTTTTAAAGATATTTAATAAGTTTATGAACTATTATAACCAACTTTAACATTATAACTATAATATTATTAACTAAAATAATTACTAACTTTTATTATTAACTAAATTATTATTAACTATTATTATTAACTATTATAACCAACAATAACAGCTATCAGAGCAGGTTTACTATTATTTGAATCATTATTTGGAAACACATCATTACAATTTTTATTCAAATATTTTTATTGATTGAGATTTTTCAACAACAGTTGAGGAGGCTACCTTGCTGTGGTTACAATCCTCTTTTAACTCTTTAACTCCTAAACACGAATCTAAACAAGGCCGCTGTGCAGAGGAACAAGTTTGTTCATTTGAATTTCAAGGTTAAAGTTTAATTGAAACTTCAGTTACTACCTCCCATTCTCTAGTCTTCTTTTTCCCATTTTCTCATTGACATTTTTAATTGTTTAGAATAATACTTTTAAATTTAAAATAAATCAATACATAGATTAAGCGTGAAATTTTTTTTTTCTATTACAGTTTTAAATTATATTTAAAAATCTTTTTCAAAATAATTTGAAAAATTCTTGTTATAAATAATTAAATAACAATATATAAAATATATTTTAAATAAAGTTAAAGTAGAAAATGAAACTAATTTTCAATATCATTAAACAAAAACACACAAAATTTTTTTACAGAGACAAAATAAAAATTAAAACCCAATAAAACCCAAAAAAACCACTGGGCCGGGTTTTTTTAAAAAAACCCGGCCCAGTAGGTTTTTTAAGTATGTAGTTCTATAGTATGTAGTTGCTGCAAGTAAGCAGGGTTTTTGCCAACTCTGCTTACTTGCAACAACTACATACTTAGAAAATGCTGAAATTCTCAAAAATTCTAATTAAAAAAAAAAACATTCCATTTCGAACAAAAAAAAAAAACAAAAAAAAAAAAAAGAAGCAAAGAACAGAAGTGCTTTAATCTACTATTTACAATGGTCAAAACCAACTGGTCCATACCAGCATTAAAAATTGAATCCTTAAATAACCTAAAAATTGCTATCTCTTAATACCTGTGGTGAAAGTTTTTGACCAAGCATCAATAGTCACAATTTCATCTTTTTCTTTTGTTAAACAATTGTTTAGATCAGTATTTATCTTCTTGTATGATTGATCATGCTTAGCATTTTTTGCTTGCTATCATATAAATAAGAATGATTAGATCATAAAACAAACTTGGCAAGGTCCAGTTTGTTTTTATCTTAGTGATGTTCAGTTTGTTTTTATATTAGCGATGTTCAGTTTGTTTTTATTTTGGCAAGGTTTAGTGTGTCAAAATCCGATTTTTGACTACTATCAAATTTCAATCTTGACAAAATAACTTATTTAAAAGATATGATCTAAATTTTTCAACTTAGGTTGAAAAACTGAGATCACATCTTTTGAATAAACTATTTTGTAAAAAATTATTTTAAATTATTTTAAATTGAATCTTTTAAATAAATTATTTATTATTAAACTAAACAACCTTGAAATGTGATCTCAACCAAAATTTTGGTTGAGATCACATCTCAAGGCCAAAATTTTGCTATTAGTTTCAATAAAATATTTGCCAAAATTTTGAGTTAGGTTTTGGTTGTGAAGTTCAATTAAAACTTCAGCTGATTTTGAGTTTCAGTCTTTATTAAACATCAGTATCTTATAATCAAGAATAGTTTAAAGGATAATTATTTCATTCTTTACATTTTTGACATTTTTAAGAGTACACAAGTAAATAGTTTTGATTTTTACTTCAATTCCATCAAATCTATCCTTTAAACCAACCACCCTAAACATCCAGAACACATATTAAACCCTTTAACTTCAAAAAATATAAACCTAATTAATAAACCAAGCTATTTTATTTAGAAACAAAGTGTAATGTTACCAGAAACAGTAAAATTTTAGATATATGGACTCCTTGTACACAACAAAAGTTTACAAAAACACCAGAAATTAAACACCTTGTACATTACAAAAATCTACAAAAACAGCGGAAATTAAAGATCTTGTACATAACAAAAGTCTACAAAAACAGCAGAAATTAAACACCTTACCTCTGCAAGATCTTTTTGACATTCATCAAGATTTTTTTTATAAATTAAGACTTCTTCATTAACATCTGATAGTTCTTTTTTCTTCTTTGCTAGTTGCTCAAGAATTTTATCTTTGTCCAATTGAAATTGTTCTTTTAATTTTCGTATCGTTTCTTCACTCTGTTTATAATAATCACTAAGTTTTAAGTGAGCAACCTTTAAGTCATTGTATGTGAGCATATCTTCAGAATTTTTGTGATGCAATTCTCTAAAAAAAAGGAAAAAAAAATCATTAAAAAGTCTACACACCCATCATTTAAAACAAATAAATTTGTAGCCTTTTTAACTGCAATGGCCTTCTTGGCCTTAAGAAGGTGAATACACAAAAAAAAAAAAAAAAAAAAAAAATCTGTTAATTGTATGTATATTACTTCTTATTAAGTATTAAGTTAAGAGATATTGTTATTTCTTGAATTAAAATTTGATTTCATCAGTTATAAAGAATGTCAGTAAATACCAGTTTATATCAATAATTGAGATAAATTAATTTACCAAATCAGAGTAAAATACTAATAAAATGTCCTCAAGAATACACAGTTTAAAACTTGTGAATTTTGTGTGAGTTGCAGTAAACTTTGTGCAACATGCCTATCTGGTACATGTACATGTTTACCTAGTACATGTCTACTTGGTAGAGACTCAACTTATCTATGCAACCAAATTAAGTATTAAGAAAATTTAAGTATTTAAGTACTAAGAAAATCTGAAGCAATAAGCAATATGCAACAGAAGATACACATTTATCTAAACAGAATGCATTGAAATGAACTTTACCAAAAATGTTTCACCTGGTGAAACAATCAAACTTTTGTATCAAAATAGAGTTTGACCAATTCAAATCAAAAGAAACGACCCAGAGAATAAGTCATAATAAATAACAACATTTTTTCTATTCAAGAAAAAAGTGATCTTAAGTTTTCAATCTATTCAGTCAAGTTTTCAATGTATAGATTATCACTCCATATTATCTATTCTCAAGCCAAGCTGAATGAAAGTGTCAAGCTATGGAAATCTCAGAGCACTTGGTTACCTAATAAATTTACATAAGGCATTCAGAGGCTCTTGCCATGACATTAAAAAGATTAAAGTATTTGGCACTATTGTATGTGAGTCATCCCTGGCTGTGCTAACTCAAAAAATTTGAAGCTTATTCTATTTTTTATTTTCTTTTCTAGTGTACTCAAATATTTATAAAAATCTAAACCCAACCCATAGAGTTTCAACTTTAAAAGTTAAAAAATTTTTTTGTGTCATTCACATCACCAAAGCTGAGAGGGCCACTACAGTTGAGGAGGCTACTTTATTGTGGTTACAAGCCTATTTCAACTTTTTAACTCCGAAACACAAACCATGACAAACAAGGTCGCTGTGCAGTGAAGCAAATGAAATAATAACAAAAAAGTTTTAAATAAAAGCTCTTCTACAATTTTGGTATTGTAAAATATGTTAAGTAAAACAATGTAAAAAGATATAATGTACTGTGTCCTTTTAAATCATAGAATATAGGGAAAATGTAATAAAACAAAAATAACCTATATTTTTCAGTGAAATCGTCTAATTTTTTCATGCAACTTTTGTATCGTGAGGATTCTGTAGACAAAAGACTATTCAGCTCTTTGACAGTTATCTGTTAAAACATTTAGATATATATAGAAATAGGATTTTTTATTTATCAAAAAGAAAAGTGAATTTCATAAATATTTATAATTTAATAATGTCCTACTATATTACACCAGAGTTGTTAGTCTTTGGCCTTGGCCTGGCCTTAAGGCCAAAAATTAAGACCTTGACCTTGAAACTGTTGTCCTTGGTCTTGGCCTTAAAAATTTTACCCTTGGCCTTGATTATTTTGGCCTTGGCCTAAAAAAAAATACATTTTTTCTTATTGATTTAATTGAATTCTGTGCATTACCTTGGTCTATTTTTACAAAATGCGGTTTAATTATCACAGTACTTGCTAATTACTGTTTTGTTAGTAATTGACCTTAACATAAGCCTAAAACTGAAGTGTTTGGTTTAGAAAATGTTTGCGAAGAACTCTTGAAACTCTTAATCTTGACATTAAAACTTTCGGCCTTGGCCTTGGCCTTCTAGCGTGTGGCCTTGGCCTCCTTAACAACTCTGTATTACACGACCATGTATGTTTCGTTTTAGAGGCTAATTCAAAGAAGCCTAAATTATGTACACAAAAAAAAAAAAAAAAAAAGAAACTGCAATATGAGAAAACTTTAATTTTTAAACTTGCATAAACTTGCATAGAATATATTTCAAGGTCCTTTTAATAATGCACAAATCTATTATACTGGAAGCACCAACATTATTATCCAATTTAATTGAATATTCAATGTCAGAGAGAACACTAAAATTTAAAGAAACAAAATGCAGCAATCGTTTTGGTAATCAAGCATTATCCCGCTATCCTAAACTTTGGAATATACTTCCAAATAACATCCGTGATAAAAAAACACAACTATTTTTAAGAAAAAACTAAAATCTTATTTAATGATGAATGGTGAACTATTCTACCAGAAAACTCTTGAATGTTAATTAAAATCTCTTGAACATTATTATTAAAATTTTTTACTAATAAAATAATTTGTTACACAGCTGAGCAAGTGTTTTATCCACTATTCTGGAAAAACACAGTAGCTGTGGGTAAACATATGTATTTATTTATAAAACTACTCTGTTATATATTAATATACAAAAAAGATCGACATTTGTGTGGCAATGTGATTATATATATATATATATATATATATATATATATATATATATATATATATATATATATATATATATATATATATATATATATATATACATATATATATATATATATACACATATATATATATATACATATATATATATATACATATATATATATATATATATATATTTATACATATATATATATATATATATATATATATATGTGTGTAGATATATATACATATATATATATATATAAATATATATATATATATATATATATATATATATATACATTTATATTTATATATATATATATATATATATATATATATATATATATATATATATATATATATATATATATATATATATATATATATATATATATATATATATATATATATATATATATATATATATATATAGTAGCATCCAGAAGTTTGCCGACAGGCATGAAAAAATTAAATTTTACTAATATTTCAGCGCATACACCACTTGAGCCGTCATATTATATTCCAATTTAAAAGGTTTTATGCAATTATGTTTTAAGCAAATTATGATTATTTAACTAAATATTAAAAATTAGTTTACAAAATAACGATTTTTGATAAGTTCAAAAGTTTGCGGACAAACTAAAGCTTTTAACACTTTTCCCATAAAATTGCTAATTTGTTGATTTTATAATTAAATACTTTGTGGAAATAACTTACAAACTTTATTTATGTGTAATTGAGATCGTGGGATCTGAAAAATGTATCTCCAGTGAAAAATCAGTTTGAAATGGAAATTCATTTCATAAAACTGCGCAACTTTATGGCGTCGGTAAGTCTGCTGTAAGACAAATTATGAAGAGATTTGAGCTTACTAGATCTACAAAGAATAAAAATTCAATCAGGAAGGCCACGCAAAACAACGCATTATCATGATAAAAAGCTTGTGATACTAAGTGAAGAAAATCCCACTTGATAGCTGTCAATATAAACGTACAAATGAGATGTTTCTATGGAATGAATTGTAGTATTTCTACTATAAAATACTGTTTACCTCACGCTAATTTATTTGGAAGACGCCCAGCTAAAAAGTACTTAGCTTCCTTGAAAAACCATAATTCCCGAAAAGAATTTGCATAAAGTGGAGTAATCAGCAATGGTCAAAAATTCTTTTTAGAGACAAAAACAAGTTTATACTGTTTGGATCTGATGGAATCAGGTATGTTTGACGTACAGTAGGTATAAGACATCCAGTAGGTACAAGATACAATCCAGTAGGTACAAGATACGATCCTAAACACCAACTACCTACCGTAAAACATGGAGGAGGTATTTAAATAGTTTGGGAATTTTTTAGCCGAGATGGAGTTTGCCAGCTCTATAAAATTACTGAGACTATAAATCAAGAAAAGTGCAAAGATATATGTAAGACTATTATATTGCTTTATGCAAAGGAGAAAATGCCTCGAGGATGGATATACAAAATGGGTAACAATCCTAAACATGCAGCCAAATTGGTTTTAGAGTTTTTCAAAAAGAATAAAGATGTTTTAAAGTCGTCATCCCAATCACGTGACTTAAATCCAATTGAACATCTATGTAAACATGTTGACCGTCAAATAAAAGGAATCAAGCCCATAAATCATGCTTATTTATTTAATAAAATCAAAGAAATATGGGACTCAATTCCCATTGATGTTTGCATTCTTTTAGTTGACTCTATGCCTCATAGATGCCAAGTCATTGTTGATTGTAAAGGATATCCTACAAAATACTAATGTGATTTTGCTTTTATATAAATTTGTGATCAAATATTGTTGAAAAATGTGTACTATTTAAAAAAAAAAACGCTTTTCCTGCAAATTTTTGAACTTACCAAAAATCCTTGATTTGTATCCCAATTATAATATGTTAATTAGATAATCATTATTTGTTCAAAACATAATTTTAAATTTTAAAACCTTTTAATTGGTATATAATATGTTGGCTTTAGTGAAGTATGGGCTGATATATTGTAAAATTCCATATTTTTTGCCTGTCCATAAACATTTGAACTCTGCTGTATATGGGTTTGTAGTTGTCAAGCAAATACTCTTTTTTGTGACAACATTAAGATATTACTTCTGATTTTTTGTTTAGCAACTCTGGGATATTTTTGTTTGAAATTATTAAAAGTTTTTTAATAATTTCAAACAAAAGTGCCCCAGAATTGCTAAACCAAATTTAAAACTGCTTATACTGTTTAATACTGTTATTTTCAAATTTAATATTGTTATTATTATTTTGTTATTTTTAAATTTTAATTTTATTATTGTTATTTATAAATTTATCCAACGGTTTCAAAAAATATGTTCAAATTAACAAGATCATCAGTAAATATTTTTTTAGTAGTCATGCTTTTTATATTATGTTAAATTTTAACACTTTATATAACTTATCATGATTTAACTCTGGTTAAATTTTGAGATTTGCATCCAAATGTTTGTTGTAGATGTTGCAAAGAATAGTTTACACTATAGCATTTATTTTTAAACAAATCAGATTGCTACTTTTAATAGTGATTAACTAATTAACTTATCTGATTCTTTCATATCCTATAAAGGATAATTAACATTAAAAAGTTTTGTAAAATAAACATTGCAATCCTTCAAAAAACACTTTCTAACAAAAATATGAAGATCAACTTTTACTCCATCACTTCCAGAACTTAATGGGGTTTGAATCCATCTTTGGATGTTATAACAACTTTTTTTCAGCAACTTGTTTATTGGATTGAACTTTAGAAATAATTTTATTGATAGGTTTCTTAAAATTGCACTCTAAAATGTAACATACACGACTGCGTAATGAACTAAATACAAATCAATACCATTACTCAGACTCGTTAAGTTAAAAAATAAATGTGAATAAAAATGCTGTCAAACAAATTCTAATTTAATTAAAAACCTGTAGACTTTCAATTTCACTTCTTAGTTTGGATTGGGTAGAATGTTCTTGTTCAATATCGCTTTGAAGATTTTTGACTTGTTTGTTTAAACTCTAGAAATAAAAATATTAATCTATGGAAAGGGACATATTTAAGTTTTTGTTAAAGCATATTTTGAAATAGGCCAACAAATAAAGATTATTTTAAGTTTATCTACCGCAAAAAATGAGTTCAATAAAATTTTATGCAAAAATTTAATATTCAAAACTTAAATGAATACTTTATGCATGTTTAATTTGTAACTATAAACAGTCAAGGGCTATTCTAGGAAAAAAAAACTTGGGCGGTGGTACACCTTCGTGGCAGAGAAATTTTGCGGAAAATCTGCGTTTATTCGCAAAAAAAATAACATTTGCCGTAAAAAACATAAAAAAAAAAAAAAAGGTCCTCAAATTTTGATTTGGGCAGCGCCCAAATTTTATATAATATTATCATTATGATTGTTTACTCAGGTGCGAAGATATATTATAGATATATATATATATATATACATTTACATGTTGGCATACTTATTATATGTTTATAATTAAGAAATATAGATAACTTATACAACTTTATTGCTTTCAAAAAACCTTATTAAACTTACTTCAATTGTCTTTGATGTTTCTTTAATTTGATTTTTATTAATACTATTTTCAGTCTCCAGCTTTTCTATGCATACATTTGCAGTATTTAGCTGTTCTAAACAGAAATGGTTTGCTTTACACAATAAAAAGGTTCAGAGCATCAATTTCAAATCAGTTGTTATATTTAAAATCTTAATTACATTTGCTTATCAACCATAAATAATAGTCAGGGTGTTTTGAAAAGAACATTTTTGTTATTCTCTAATTAACAACAAAAAATATTTTGAGCTAACTTTATTAACAAGCAAAAAAGATTGCAAAACAAAGCAAGATTGTATTAACAAACAAAAAAAATTCTTTCTTTGAACAAAAAAATGGTTTGAACATTAAAATTGTTAAAACCTTTAGCTAACTCTAATACACTGCATGACAAACATTTCATATGTTACACTGCTGTACTTTTACGGAATTATTTTCTGTTATAAACATGGAAAATACCCATTTAACAAAATTAAACAGAAATTTTCATTATTAATAAACCAAATATGGATACACAGAGATTTTCTGTTGTATAAAAGTTATATTTTGGAAGTCGAAGTGTTTTAGCATACAAAGTTGTTGCATTAATTAAAAAACTTAGTTAAAAAAACTAATCGCATATACTGATCTCTATAGTAGATATTTATTTATAATATAGGGTATATGGTATAAATAAATAGATATTTACTCAAATCAAATATAGATATTTAAACAGATACCTACTCAGGTAGGATATGTATGGTATAATGTGTATGGTACTTTAATTAAAGTATTTATTGATTACAGGTATTCATTCATTTCAGACACATGTCTGTATTATATGAAGAAGTGTCTTCTATATAGAAGAAGTGTCTTCTATATAATACTATAAATGTTTTTTAATATAGTCTTTTGAAGTAATTATTCTGTATTTTTTCTTATGTAGTTCTTATTTTTGCTGTTACAGAAGAAATCAGTAGTGGTATTTTATTTGTTACTTATCTTGTTTACATATTTTAAATCTTTTTAGACTTGCTAACAACTATATTTTTTGGATTTTACTAAGTTGAATAAAAAATTCAGATTTGCCAGCATCATCAAGCTTATCATCTGCTTTACATTCCAATGTACAAGATAATCTTAGTAATTAGGAATTTGATTTTTTAAGAAGTTGTTAGATTTATTTTAATTTATCAGTAAATGCAAATATAACTTTACTTTTAAAGTTAGGACCACTGCTACTAGATGCCAAGACTCTTTCTTTATTATAATATTTTTGCTCTTTTTTAATCTTATCTCTGTTGAACTGATTTGTAAATCATGGAATTAAAAAAAAAAAAAATCAGAAGAAAAAAAGGTTTTATACAAATAATTTACATATAATAAATGTTAAATAGGGGTCTGATTCCATGGGGTCAGACCCATATGTAACATTTAATAATATATAATATACATTATATGTGTTTAACAACCAATAACATATATTAACATAATAAATGTTACATGGGGGACTGGGGTCCCAGCTAAAAATAAGACTTTTTACAAACTCGGCCCCAGCAAAATTATAAAATTTAGCAGGGGTTGATAGCCGGGGCTTAAGAAAAATTTAATACTTTATATATTATAAACTTATGCATACATTTACTATTTGTTAAATACTGGTTAAATTACTTAATAGTGGTTACAAGCAACCACAATTAAGTTACGAGTTACTAGAAAATAAAGGATAGGGTTAAAGAACAAGAAAGCAGTTAACTGAAGACTTTGTTTGGACAAAGGTATTAAGTTAAGTTGTCAGCAAATAGAGACACTTTAGATATAAGATTGTCAGAAAGCAAAGATAAAACCTTGCAAGACCCCTAAAGTTACTGGAAATGAAAATGACTTATACTGCGGTTAAAAGAAATGATTTAATAATCTTAAAGCCAATACGTAAAGAAACTAATAGAGAGAAGGCTAATTGAAGGATAGTTGGAGAGGTCAGTGTGTTTTCTAGATTTTATTCTATTTAGCACAAATTAATAGTTTTGGAGAACACTTTTGTAAGACTATAATGGAAATGTTGTCTGAAACACAAGCTGTAGAAGAGTTTAATTAAGAATTGACTTGAGCATCGGAAGCCAGAGTGATATCTAACAATGCCAATCTAGTTAAACAATTAACCTGTTTAACTGGATTGACATGAATAGTATGGTTGTTAGATTCAAGAGTCAAATTGAAGGAAAAGTTCTTCGGAAATAACTCTGCCTTATTCTGGGGAGAAGAATTAGAGATGAAACGTTAGACTTATTTGGTTAATGACACTATTGAAGATTTTCCAAAAGTGTCTAGAAACTAGCACCTGAGATAAGATACAAGATTTAGTTAACTGAGAATAATGAAGCTTAACATCAAAAAAGACTTTTTTACAATGGCTTCTTACATTAACAAAAAGACATTTGTTTTTCTGAAGAGAGATGTTCTTGTAAAAAAGAAGAAAAATATGATTACAGCTCAATATAGCAAGTGCACAAGAAGATGAAAAACCTGAGAATGAGGCCTAAATATTAAACTGACGAGAAGGAATAAAAGCTTCCATATCTGCTTGGATTCAGGATTTTAGGTATTTATACATTTATATAAGTACATTTATATAAATTTATATATATTAGGTATTTATACATTATATAAGTGCATTTATACATTTATAATTTGTATATATTGTATATATATATATATATATATATATATATATATATATATATATATATATATATATATATACTATATATATATATATATATATATATATATATATATATATATATATATATATATATATATATATATATATATATATATATATATATATATATATATATATATATATATATATATATATATATATATATATATATATATATGGATAAACATTATGTATATCCATATATATATGGATATACATTATGTTTGTTACTTATTTAGATGCTGGCATACAATATCCTTACATAATTATATAAACTTTAGTATTTATATTACCTGAAAGATTATGACTCTAAAAAGACCAAAAAGAAGCCATAATCTTAGAGATTAGAAAAAATAATGTTAATAATGAGTTAGAAGTAAGAAAACCTAGAGAGGTGTTTTACATATGGTATGAATGCATTTTAGCTAAGAAAGGCTAAAGCTTTATGATGATGATGATGATGATGATGATGATGATGATGATGATGATGATGATGATGATGATGATGATGATGATGATGATGATGATGATACTCTAGGATGTATCAATGTTTATGCAACCAGTTCACAAACATGGCCCTGGCTATTTTTTATTAAACCTGGCCAAAGTCCTAAAATTCAAATCTCAAACCAGTCACTTACTACATGGGGGAAGAGGTGGTTAAATTCAGTGTAATGTGACAAAACAATTTTAAATTTTTATCACAGTGTAGTTAACTTAAATTGTAAACTCAGATATATATTTTCTTTAAAAATAATGCCACATCACATACTAGAGGGAGAGGCTTGATAAAATCGCCATGTACTATTTGAACAGCTTCCAATGAACTCATGATAACTTATTGCTACACATAATGACAATTTATTTCTATTTAAAATTTTATCAAGATTGATTCACTCAAAAACTTTGTTTGTTTTTATTTAAGATTTTCAGTCATTTGACTTGAAATAAAAAAGAAATAAAGGACTGCATAATAGTTTTTTATTTATATTTTGTGAAACCAAGTTAAACTTTGAATCAATATTTGTAATATAGTAATATATAATATTATTTGCTTACTTATTTATACTTTATTAAAATTGTTATTAATTATCTACGAAATTGATTATTTACTAGTTTGTTTTTTATTCATGCATTTGCTACTAAAATGAAATGCGAATTACAAATTTTATATTTTTATATAAAATTTGTTATAGTTTTAAAATATTGTTTTTAAATAATACTTTTAATAACATACAATTCATTTTACATCAAAAATTTGAAAACAAGATTTGCCACAAGTTTTTGTTGTTTATCAGAAAAACCCAATGAATTTAAACAGAAAAATCTAAATGTTTAGAAATTTTTGTTTACATATGATGTTGGTTTTTTCCATAATAATAGGGAAACTCGTGGCAAATCCAGCTGCTAGATATTTTTCATAAATAAAAAGAAATACTTTTAACAGCATAATCAACAAGAGTGTGATTTTTAAGATTTCCATTTTACTTTTTAATAACTTATTACAAACTTTAAGATTTACATTTTATTTTTTAATAATTTATTATAAAATTTAAGATTTCCATTTTACTTTTTATTAACTTATACAAACTTTAAATACTTTGTAGCAATTTGCATTCCTCCTGTTGTTCTTGACGTTGTCTAAAAATAAAATAACATAGGCTTGAAATTTCACAACAATCAAAAGAATACTTTTAACAAATCAAAGAAACTTATATTTTCAAAAAAAATGAAATTAAAACAACTCATAAAAAAAAACATTTCATCAATCAAAACTTAAAAAGCTTTGACTTAATATGTTATCTTTTCTTGATGAAAGTTGTGATTTTCTCAAAGATAACATCTTTCACAAAAACACTTTAACCAATAAAAAAAAAAAAAAAAAACTTACTTTATACCAATCAGAAGGCTTGAATTTAGTGATCACAAATTGCGATGTCTGGAAATGCTTCTGGTCATTGAAATTTTAGTTTCTTAAAAACTGTCAACTCTGTTTTTATCGCTTAATTCAATAGTTGTTATTCAATTAAAATATTTATATTGGTCTTAAATATATATTGATCTTAAATATTTATATTGATCTTAAATATTTATATTGGTCTTGAAACTATGATTTAAATTCTCATTATAAAAATATACTAATAATATTTTTATGATTATTTTTTATTATTAAAATATACTAATAATATTTTTATGATTATTTTTTGTTATTATTAAAGTATACTAATAATATTTTTATGATTATTTTTTGTTATTATTAAAAATTATGATTTAAACTTTGACATTTTAATTTATTTGATAAAAATAAAGCATACAGGACAAGTAATATTAAAAAAACAACCAAAACTCACAACAGTCTAACAGAATTTACTGGTGATCAAATATTTTAAATCTTGAAATAAGATATGAAATACTTTAAAAATACTATACCTTATTTAAATGTTATTCAATATTTTCTTATAAATACCAATACGAAAAAACAATAAAATATAAAAAAAAAAATATAATTAAATACTTCTTACTCTAACACAGATATAAAAGACAGAGGAGTTTAAAAACATATAAAAACTAATTATAATTATAAATAATAAATTTATTTATTGAAGGTAATTATTTTTAAAGAACCAACATTTTTTTAAGTATAAAGACTTTACTAAGCTGTAATCCAAATGCATTAATGGAAGACATTTGTAAAAGGCTTGATTTATAAAAGACATTTTTTTGTCTTTTATAAATAAATAAAAATTTCCTCGTTATTATATTATTGCTTCTGATTTTATGTTCTAAATTTTTTTTTCTGTCACTTTGCAGGATTTTTATCTTTCCTGTCACTTTGCAGGATTTTTATCTTTCCTGTCACTTTGCAGGATTTTTATCTTTCCTGTCACTTTGCAGGATTTTTATCTTTCCTGTCACTTTGCAGGATTTTTATATTTACTTAACTACTGAATATAAATAAAGAATTAGAATCAACTGATCAATGCTATAACAGGATTAAGTCTGACTATGAACAATATACATCTCAATAAAAGTCTTGAACCTATAGGTGTGTCAGATATATAAAATTAAAGACAGAGGAGTTTAAAAACATATAAAAAACTAATTTAAACTACTTAGTTATTTTAAAACAAAACAAAAAAACTCTAATAAATTTTTTTAAATCTTTTTTATTAACAACTAATTAACTTCTAAGATAAAAAACTAATTAACTTCTAAGATAAAAAATTTAAATTTTTAAATAAACAACTTCTCAAAGTTTCTTTCAGAACAAAAATCAATTTTAATGTTTCATACAAATTATCAAATAGTATAAGTTTAAACCTCTAGAAATTATTATTTTTTGCCTATAACTTTTTTTTATTTATGTTTTAACTACCTGGTGTTTAGAAAATAATTTAAAATATGTAAGTTTTAACTGTTATTATTTTTGCAGTAGTAAATTTATTGTTTTGTCTTTAATTAAATTTTGCAAAATGATAAACTGATCATTTCATTAAAACAGTGTTCACATTAAAACAGTGTTCACATTTTTTATAAAATAAGAATTTGACAACCAGAAATATTTCCAGATACCGCAATTCACAATCACTTGATTTGAGCCTTAAATAAAAAAAAATATTTTTTTATTGTTGTTATTAAACTTACCTCTTCAAGGTTCCAGAACCACTACAGTCAAGGAGGTTTCTTGCTTTTTTGTTGTTTTTTTTATTTTTTTTGCAATTCTCTCTAATCTTTAAACACAGAAACGCGCATTGTGAATGGTTTCTTAGCTGTTATTTTTTTTGTATAACTATGGAATTCTTTCTGTTACTACCTTATGAGGGTAAAATTTTATAACTCTGAGACAGCAAGTTAATGGTATAAGTTAATAATAGAATCAGTTTAGCTCTGCTAAACTGATTCTATTTACAGCTATAAAACAGAGTATAAAGAATGATTGCTACCTGGTGAGTATGCCTAAAAGTTCTTAGTATTAAGTTTCCTAGTTTAATCTGCTCTCTTTATCTGTTTATTACTTCTTGCCTATTCTAACTCAAGCATCTTTTTGGTATTTGTAAACATTACTTTTACCTGCTTCACTAGAAAAGTTTCTCAAGAACAAACGTTTTTTTACCATTGACAAAAAAAAAGAAAAGCCAAATGAGGAAAAAGTTTAACACAATAACATATATCACTAATAATATAAGCATTATTTTATGTTGAAACTTTTGAAGTACATAAACCAACATATTAGTTGTTTAATTTCAAAATTACTGTTTTTTTTCTAAAAGTTATTTTTTGATAAAATAACTTTTAGAAAAAAAAACAGGTAAAAGTTATTTTTTGATAAAAT